CGGCTGGGCATATTGGATTGGAACAGCATCCCAACAACGCTGGAATGGAGGGGGGGGGGGGAATGTTATTGTTTTTGTTTTGTTTTTTTGTTTTTGTTTTGTTATATTTGTTGATTGTTATAGTTCTTTTTTTGTTAGTATTGTTAGTTGCATGTTATTTGTTTATTTTTAGGAAATGTTATTTATTTATTGTTTGTTTAGTTTTAGTTGTTACTTTATATATGAGAGTTTTTTTTGTTTAGTTATATCTTAAGTTCATTAGATTTGCTTGTTTATTTAATAACTTTATAGTTTTGTTTGTGATAGTTTTTTGCAAGTTTAGTTCTTTTTTTATATTAATTATTTGTTAATTAGGTTTATTTATTTACTTGTTTATTATAAGACATTTGTTAACACAAGTTTTGTTTGTTATTTGTAATGTTAATTTGGTAAGATAAGTAACTTGCTATATAATTGTTATAAGTAGAAGTTTTGTTGTTATGATTATGTGATTTGTTATTCTTATGAGTAATAGTTATTTGTTATTTTTATGATTATATTAGTTATTTGATATTTTCATGAGATTTAGTTATTTGTTATTGTTATTATGAGTTTTAGTTGTTATTGTTATGAGTTTAGTTATTTGTTATTGTTATGAGTTTTAGTTATTTGTTATTGTTATGAGTTTAGTTATTTGTTATTGTTATGAGTTTTAGTTATTTGTTATTGTTATGAGTTTAGTTATTTGTTATTGTTATGAGTTTTAGTTATTTGTTTTTGTTATGAGTACAATGTATGAGTTATTGGTTATTTATATGCCAGTTTTAATTATTTGTATGAGTATTAAGTATGTGCCTAATGTTCTTTGTTGTATTTTGCAGTAGAATCAACGCTGGACATGGTGGATGTAACAGATTTGAAGGTGTTGAAGCAGTATGTTTCAGCCGAAACTTCTGGCCTGATCGAGGGCCTATTATTTAATTATATTTGTTCTTTTTACAGCTTTATTTTATAGTTGGGCAAAGCTTGAAAGTTGAAGAGGAATAAGCAATATCCTTATAAGTATCATAAGGTAAAATGTAATAGAAAATATTGAATTAATTAAAAATTCAGAGTCAGAAAATAACAGCTTGAATTATGTATTATTGTTGGATGATTTAAAATATTCCAGAAAAAAGTAAAATAGTCCTAATTGACTTAATTCATCTTTCCAATATAGAGAAAATGATCCTTGATGTGTAGCTTTTCACGGCAAAGGCCAATGTGTTCTTAGCTCTACTGGTCAGAGTTCAGAAGAGCTTAATTATGCATAAAAAGGCGTCCCTTGTCCATCAATCTGTCTGTAAAAAATAGCTTAGCCTAGCTGTCTGTCTGTAAATAATTTTTCAAGATTTGGTACATAAGTAAACTATACTAAGTTACATAATTTGTTTATTTTTGTTTTTGATATCAAACCTGATATTTCAAAATGAATAATGATATTAAGTAATAAGATACAGAAAGGTCAAAGAAAGGTTGCTGTTATTTTCTGAATGTTCTCATTTTTATTCAAATTTTTATTAATTTTAAGAGTCAATTTGTTTCAAAGCTTGTCTATCAAATTAACATATTTCATGCACTGGAAATCTCGGAAATCTGATGAAATTTTATCAGATTTGTGGAATTTTGTAAATTTTCACATCCCTTTAGCCTTCATGGACACTCTAAATCAAAACAAACAAGCATCATTTCTGGTAATGAATGGCAAATTTTAACTGCATTTTGATTTTTATATCAAACAAGCGTCATTCCCTGTTCTTTGTGTTTCTCCCACCATCTTTTCATAGAAAATTTTCTCTCAACCAAAAAAAAAAAAAAGAAAGAAAATGTTGCATATCTTAATTTTAGTCTATTTTAAGCTCAACCCATAGCAATGCACTATATCAGAGATCCCCTTTTAGGACAGTAGATCTGTAATACAGAATGATAAACTTCTTTTAAGGACATATGCAACATAATTTGAACTTTATTGTCTTTTTTCCCTGCAGTGGAAGCTTAAAGGATCTGTATGCTACATTTTAATGTCTAAATATGCTATTGTACACTTCTTCTAAAACAAGTTTGGATAAACAAAACATCTAGAATATACATTTAGTAATTTTTGTATATTTTTCTTTGAACTATACAAGAATTTTCATCAATTGATATCTTTTCAAAACCCCTGGAAATGCATCCTGATTTTTTGTCTACGAACATTCGATGACACTATGATCTTAAATTAAGAATATCTTGAGAAATTATCAGTACATAAGGTACGTTGTGTATGTCCTTAACTTTATATATGTTGATTTTTGTTAAAGCTGAACACGACTTGTAAATAGGCATACGCCATATTCAATTATACTATCTATGATATCAGCACTGGGGTAAACTCTTCACATTTGTTACACCTGACTGCTTTATTGTATCGGCGTGGAATGGCGACACGGGTTCGTGCTGGTTATCTTGCACTGCCTTTGTTTATTTATTTTATTGCAGTTATGTGTATTTGTGTTTGTATACTGCACTGACCTGTGCAACTGTTGTTTCTTTGGATTCTTACTCTCCTGGCGTAGAAGTACAAAGTTACTTTTTGTCGCTACTGAGCGCTGTGTAGCATACGTCCGTCTACACTGGTGACAACCGATTACACTGAACAGTGACTAAGTGAGCGGCTTATATAGGGGGTCTCAGATATAGCTAGTAAATAATCGAATATGGCGGACAAATTCCTATTACGAACTGTGTTCAGCTTTAAGATGTGTCAGTATTCATATTCCCTTTTTGTCCCTCCCAGGATAAGAGATTGAAAAAGACAACAACACATGGTGGAAACAACCAGAACAGGCAAGCCTGATGGACAGAAATTCTCCAAGATGTGGAAACAGCACCTGCACCCAACAGGACTTGGTGGAGACAACTGGAGGAGACAAGCCTGATGGATGTTACCCCCCCCCCTTAAGACATATCGCAGGAGATAGCTTAACTGATCAGGTATGTGACATAATCATGATCCAAGATCATCTTATTAATAAAAAGTTCCAAATTACAATGGCTACAATTCAGAATAAATCAACATACAAATAGAGTGTTGTAAATTTGGTTTGAAAGATACTCAATTGTGTAATAATTTTAAGAGTCATTTTGTTTCCAAGCTTCACAGTCTATTAAAATATACACACATAAACTGGTATCAGATACACATCATGTATGGAAATCTCACAAATCTGATGAAATTTCATCAGCATTCAAGAATTTTCTTATTTTCACATTAATCTTGTAGCCTTAATCTTTAAATCAAAACAAAAAAAACCCACCTTATTTACAGTTAATAATTGCAAAGTTTAATTGCATTTTGATTTATAGCTCTACTGGTCAGAGACCAGAAGAACTTATGCGATAGTAAGGTGTCTGTCATCCGTCCGTCTAGCTGTCTGTCTGTCTCTCCGTCTGTACACAATTTTTCAAAACGCTACTCCTCCTACAGTTTTAGTCTGATTTCAATATAACTTGGCACACAAGTAGACTACACTTAGTCACTAAGATACATAATTCTGTTTATCAGTTTTTTGATTTCTATGAACAGTGTTGTCATATCATTACTTAAAATATAAATTTCTGTGAAATACTTTCAAAACACAACTCCTCCTACAGTTTTGATCTGATTTCATCATAACTTGGCACACAAGTAGACTACACTAAGATACATAATTCTGTGTAACAGTTTTTGATTTCTTTGAACGGTGTTGCCATGGTTACTTAGATAGAAATTTCCTTGAAATACTTTCAAAACGCTACTCCTCCTACAGTTTTGATCTGATTTCATTATAACTTGGCACACAAGTAGACTAGACTGTGATACATAATTCTGTGTATTGATTTTTGAGTTTGATGAATGGTGTTGCCATGGTTACTAAAAATAGAAATTTTTGTGAAACTCTTTTAAATCCCTACTCCTACTACAGTTTTGGTTTGATTTCAGTATAACTTGGCACACAAGTAGACTAGAGTATGATACATAATTCTGTATATCGATTTTTGATTTCGATGAACGATGTTGCCATTGTTACTAAAAATAGAAATTTCCTTGAAATACTTTCAAAATGCTACTCCTCCTACAGTTTTGATCTGATTTTAGTATAACTTGGAACACAAGTAGACTACACTAAGATACACAATTTTCTCTCTTGTTTTCTGATTTTGTTGAATGATGTTGTCATGGTTACTAGAATTGAAATTTCTGTAAAATTCTTTTAAAAGGCTACTCTTCCTACAGATTTAGTCTGATTGCAATAAATCTTAATAACACAAAAATCTCAATGAAACAAAAAGAGACTACACCAAGGATCATTATTCTATGTATTGCTGTTGCAAAGTTTCAAGTCCAAGTGCTACTTTTAAGTACAAACCAGTAGAGGTACGGTCTCATCAGAGACTTCTTGTTTGTTAAGATGTGTCAGTACTCATAACCCCTTTTCACTCTTTCCAGGATAAGAGATTGAAAAAGGCACTTGAAGAACTATCTGGCAGGTCAAGTGGAGCCCTGTAAGCATTGAAGATATTTTCTACAGGCTAATGGATATTAACTCTAAAAAAAAGTGCAGCTGCAGACAACAGGACATGGTGGAAACAGCTGCAGGAGGCAAAACTTATGGACAGTGATCTTCCAAGATGTAAAAACAGCACCTGCACCCAAGAGGACTTGGTGGAAACAACTGGAGGTGGCAAGGCTGATGTTGAGGCAAGGTGGATGGATGTTTAGGCAAACCTGATGGACAATGATCTTCCAAGATGTGGAAACAGCAGCTGCTCTCAGCAGGCCCCAAGACCATAAACTGAGAAAATTTGAAACTATAATAACCTTTGAAATAATTTTGATTATGAAACAAAAATTCCATCATGTTTTAATTAAAATGCTATACAAAACTGCAAATGTTTAAGCAAATACATAAGATAAAAAAAAATTGGCCTGAGTCTGTTCTCAGTTGATGGTCTTGGGGCCAGGACTTGGTGGAAACAAATGGATGAGGCAATACTGATGGATGTTAATCTTCCAAGATGTGGAAACAGCAGCTGCAGCCAAAAGGACTTGGTGGAAACAAATGGATGAGGCAATACTGATGGATGTTAATCTTCCAAGATGTGGAAACAGCAGCTGCAGCCAAAAGGACTTGGTGGAAACAACTGGAGGAGACCAGCCTGATGGATGTTACCGCCCCCCTTTCAAGACATATCGCAGTAGATAACCGACACTGATCAGGTATGTGACATAATCATGATCCAATATTATCTTTTAATAAAAAGTTCCAAATTACAATGGCTACAATTTAGAATAAATCAACATATCTTGGCTACAAATAAAATGTTACATAAAATTGGTTTAAAAGATATGCAATTGTGTAATAATTTTGAGTCATTTTGTCTACCATATTTTCATATTCCGTACAATGATATCTGATACACCTGATGTACAGAAATCTCAGAAATCTTATGAAGTTTCATCAGAATTGAGGCTTCCTCCCACACTGGCCCCCTTTTCTCTTTCTTATATGCCTATGACATAATCATAAGCTGATACTGTTTAAAATAAGACACTTGCACCTGACAGGTTGAAAAGGAGACTTCAGACGATGATGCTGATGAAGTTTTTCTTCAACAATGTGAAAAAGAGCTTTTGCAGCCTACAAGATTTGATGGAAGGAACTGGAAAATGCAATGCTGATGGATGTTGACCCTCCAAGATGTGGAAAAGACCAGCCAAAGCCAGACAGGAATTGGTGCAAAAAACCTGGAAAAGGCAAGACTGATGGATTTGACCTTACCAACAGCAAGACATATCACAGTGGATGCAATGTTGATGGACCTTATCCCCCCCCCCCCCCCCCATGATGTGGAAATGAAGAGTAACAGCCAGACAGGAATTGGTGGAAACAACTGGAAAAGATGAGACTGATGGACGTTAACCTTCCCAATAGCAAGACATATCACTTTGGATAACTGTCACTGATCAGGTATTTGAATTATATGATCCAAAATATTTTTTTGAAAAAGTGCAGCAAAAGAATATCATCTTAGAGCGGGGATAGACAAATAGGATTTTGCAGTACTTGCCCTCTGACAGATTACCATCATAAGATTACTTGTCCTACCAAAAAATATGCTTCTCCGACCTGTTTCTTAATTTAAACAAAATAACAGTAAATTATTTCTCAACTGAGACACTACACAGGAATCAACCTAGATCTAAAATTACTAAATTCTCCCAGATTTCTTTCGATATTTTCAGGGTATTGATAAAGTCGAAGTTTCATTCTATTCTCCTCAAAATTCTTCAATAAGATAATCCTTATATTCAATAAGATACTCCTTAAAGTGTATTATTTATTTAATGAAAAAGGTGAAGTTAACGAACAGTGATTGATCTCAGAATACCTACAAACGAGACAAATCTGTGAACACTACTGCATGCCGATTGAGCGATCGACTTCATGACTATGTGATTGCCAATCAACAACACTAATTTTAATAGCAATAGCATGTCTGTATTCACAGAATGAATTTAATATTTTGTCAATAAAAAAGTCTAAAATCCCATTCAACTTTTTGACGACATTGGAAGGTGTCATGTTTTATGACTTGTGTTTAATATAACAACACATTCATGGGTAAATTCTAGAGGAGTTCCGACTGAGTATTCAATATAGTGGTCAACAGCAGCAAAAACAGATGCTCTCTTGTGATTCATGATATTTTAAAAGTGGTAACACAAAAGACATATTGAGTATATGATTTTTTGTTAATGGGAAAAGCACTTGTCCGCAGTCAGGCACCACTTATCAAATATTAACTAGACCACTAAACAAAATTGGTTTTCCAGGGCGTCGGGCAATGCTATTTGTCTAGCCCTGTTAGAGCTATACAGTATTTCACTTAGATATGTCAGTTATTTTGTTAATTTCTGTTTTATACTTACTTAGATGCTGAAGTATATTAACTTCTATTTTATAGTGTGCTTAGATGATTTTGTGACAGTACCCTATAGGAGACTCAGATAAAGTCATGTGGATGTGCTTGACATTATGAATGACAAGGAGCCCTCAGGTATGGAAATAAGTCACCCAAGTATGCCATTCTGTAAGACTCTGTTCTTCAATTTACTTCATTGATCCTATTGATTAATTACTTTTTTTTCCTCATTCATTGACAGAAAATTAAAGTATTGAAGAGGTATATCCTTGTGATCGCATGTGGAGAAAGACAAAGATAGATGACCATGTAGAAGTCCAGATTTGCACACACAAGCACATCCAATTTACAATGTTATAATCCAAAACAATTTTTTTGAAACATTTGTTTTGGAAATGGGTGTCTGAGTTGTAAGAGGGTATGGGGTCGCCCACTCAGACACGTGGGTTTTCTCCGGGGGCTCCGGTTTCCTCCCACACTGACCCCATTCTTTTTCTTTGTGCCAATTGAAAGTAAATATCTTTTATTATCTATTGTTTTGCTCTAATGTTATTTTATGTATTTTGTTATATTTTATATTATAAAATGTTTAGATAAAGTAGTTGAAAGCTAGTTGTAAGTAGACCTTGTCGATACCCTGGGGCATTACTGGTTGGAACTTCGTGGATCCTTGGCCGCTACGGTTGCCAGGCTGGCCTGGGGAGGAGAGGTTGAAAACGCAACTAGTTGTAGGCTGCTTTGTCTTTAATAATCTGTTTTCATTTTATCTAAAATCAAAAGATCATATATGTTGCAGATATAATGATTGTTAAATATTAAATTAGAATTCCTGGAATGTACAAATTCTGTCAGCTACTGTACCAGTAATAATTTGTATAGTCAATTCCAATTATAAGCTTATTGTGATGCATTATATACTGACTAAATCTTCAGTAAAAGTAATTGATTATAAATTTTGATGTGAAATTATGATTTGTATTTAATAATGTAAAGTAATGGGATTTGAATGTATTAAATTGTGATCTGTTAATGTTAAATTATGATTTGTGAATGTCAAATTGTGATTTGTTTATGTAAAACAGTGATTTGTGATTGTCAAATTGTGATTTGTTTATGTAAAATGGTGATTTGTGAATGTTTGTGAATTTAATGTAGTGATTTCATTTTGAAAAAAAAAAAAAAGAAAACAAACAAAAAAAAAAGCCAGGAAAAAAAACTAGAAAAGACAAAAAGAAAAAAAAAGAAAAGAAAGAAAAAACACAGTAAAAAACAAACAAACAAACAAAAACAAAAAAAAAAAAAAAAAAGAAAGAAAACAAAGAAAACAGATTTGAAAGAAAAAAATATATATAAAGGAGCAAAACAAAAAGGCACAAAACTTTTAATGCTGCCTGCTTGAATTAACATATTTGCATGTTTTTTCAAGCAGAAGGTTCCAAGCCCTTAAAAGCAGAGGAGAAGTTTTGGTTTCTTATGTATATTGACATTACTGAATGTATGCCAAAGAAGATGGGCAGACAATGACAAGCAGAATACCTATAGTGCAATAAACATGAAGGTAAAAAATTAAATCTTGATTACATGTATAACAAAATTTTCTTTGATATTTCATCTAACATAGTATACTTTATGTAAAATCTGTACAATTTGCAAAAAATCTCACAAAGATTGAAATTTTTTGCTTATAAATAGCATACACACACTAAAGAGGACAAAAAGGATCATTATCTAATTCTATATTACACAACTTTTCGATATAAATGGGTCTTTGCTTCACTTTTTGGAAAGTTTATCCTCAAAGTTTGCTTTAAACTATACATTTTTGGTGATAAAAAACATGGAGCAAAGACCCATTATCTCTTTAAAATATTTCATGACACAACATTTGTATCTTTCTGAGAAATAGTTGGAGACCATTTAGTTAAGAGTCATATCACAGACATGATCTAAATGCCGCTATTCATCAGGAGTTGTGTAGCGTAGTGGTTAGCATGTTAATCTCAAAGGAAATTGATACATAGGATTTTTATTGCTAGGATTAGAAACCCACAAATACCACACTATTTTTTATGGAATTCCATATACAACAGCCAACTGCTCACTGCTTTTTTTTATTCGCATTATTATGCATTTTTTGGCATTGCATTTGCAGGAAAATAATTCAATAGCTTTTTTAACAAGTAAGGGAGGGGGGATGGTAAAAGTGTATATATAAATCAGATAAAACTGGGGGCCAAACTTTTAGTAGAATCTTTGGGTAACACTTGCTGATATATGTATTTATATGAGAAATACTTTTGAAAATTATATTACATTCAAGGCATTTTACTATATTTAAAAACAATTTAATTCTGGTTATAACTCGGTATTTGATTGGAAAAAAGTTTACTTTATATCATATAATATGGGTTACCTATGTCACAATTACTTGAGTCAAAAACGTATCGATCCACCTGATGTTACATTTAAATTTTGTACAATTTGAAGTCATTTTTTAGGGGCAATAATCTTTTTTTTCCCTACATTAAATGAATGAAAATTGAATTATAAGGAATGAATTTAATAGCTATCCAATTTATACAGTATAAACTGGGTTGGAACATTTACGGTTTTCTACAAACCACTTTGTGGAGCCCTCAAGTATGGGAATAAGTTACCCAAGTATGCCATTCTGTAAGACTGTTCTTCATTTTAACTTTGTCAGTCCCAATGGATAATTTTTTTTTTCTCACTCATTAACAGGAAATAAAAGTATCGAAGAGTCATATCCTTGTGATCGTGTTTGGAGAAAGACAAAGGAAGATGAACAATGCAGAGAAGCACACACGATCACATCCAGTTTTTATCCAAAACAATTTTTTTGAAACATTTGTTTTGGAAATGGGTGTCTGAGTTGTAAGAGGGTATGGGGTTGCCCACCGAGACATGTGGGTTTTCTCCGGGTACTCCGGTTTCCTCCCACACTGACCCCATTCTTTTTCTCTATGCCAATGAGATAATTATGTTATCTTTGAAAAAATTTTAATGTAAATATTTTTTTTTATTATTTGTTGTTTTGCTATAATTTTGATTAGTCAGTACAAATTCACTCAAGCTATTGCAATAAGATGGTTAATGGTGACTAAGAATGTATTGTATTATTGAATGTAAATCAGCATTTATTATTGATGTGACTAATTCTGTGGTGAAAGTACAAGTTAATGTTTATTGTTTGTATTAGTAAATTTGTGACAGTCAATGATGAATTGTAACTAGTTTTGCAGTGAAAATACATGTAAATGTTAGATAAGTAGTAGATGTTAAATTGTGACAGTGAATGATAATTGTGTGACCTAAGTTATGCAATGAAAGTACAAGTAAATGTTAAAGTAACAGTAAATGTTAAATGTGTCAGTGAATGGTGATTTGTGAATATAGTTATGCAGGGAAAGTACATATAAATGTTAATTGTGTTAGGAATAAATGTTAAATGTGAAAGTGAATAATGTTTTGCGACTAGTTATGCAGTGAAATTACCAGTACATGTTAATGTTAATTGTATTAGTAAATGTTTAAATTGTGTCAGTGAATGATGAATTTTAAATAGTGCATTGTTAAATTTTTTTATCTCAATAGCCAAAGTTTTGTGCAGTGTTAAAAAAAATCACAACACAAAAAAAAAAAACAAAAAAAAAAAACTAAAAAAAAGAAGAAGAAAATAATACAGAAGGACAAAAAAAAAAATGATAAAAAACAAAGAAAAAAAGAAGCCCCCCCCCCCCCCAAACAAAACAATAGAAAAAAAGCACAAAACTTTTAATGCTGCCTGCTTAAAAAAAAATGCTTCATTTTTGAATTTTTTTACCAAGCAGAAGGTTCCAAGCCCTTAAAAGCAGAGGAGAAGTTTTTTGTGTTAATAGGTCACCCCAGTCATTAAGGTGACCTTTGCTATCGGTTTATTGGTCAATTTGTTGTAAATATTAATAGTTAAACAATTTCAGCTTCCTCTCTGTAACCACTGAAAAATTACATGTACCACCAACTTTACCATATAGCATCTTTGGATGAATGAAAACAAAAATTGCATAATACATGCCCCCCCCCCTCCCCCCCGGGGGCTAAAAACCATCAAAATTTATTATTAAATGCAATCTTGAACAATCTTCACTCCTGGTCAACAAGCATTTAAACTTTTTGCTTGATTTTAATAAGCATTGAATCCTCTACCAAAATTATGAATTCATGACCCAGGGTCTCCCAGACAGGACTTCTGGGGTTGGTGGAGCTCTATTGATCATATATTGCATAAATTCTTTAAAAAGGTTTTGTCCCCCCCCCCCCCGTATATTCAGCAGAGAAACTTTAAGTGCATGGTTATGATGATCTAGGATTCCTCATCCAAATTTATAAAATTTGGGACAGGGCAGGTATTTTAGGGCAGGGCATTATTGATCATATAGTGAAAATGCATTATTTCTTTGAAGATATTCTTGTCTGCTCTTGGGTATTAAGCAAGCAAATAAAGAGCATGGTTTTGATGAGGAAGGGTGCCTCTTCTTAAGTTGTAAATATCATGGCCTTTGGGTCAAGGGTTCTTGTGTTTAGGGCTGAATCAGAGGGTCTGATGTTTAGGTGGGATGTATTAATTAAAAAGTGAAAACGCATTTGTTTTTCATTTATTATTCTGCTCCTAAGCATCTACAAGACAAACAGAATACAAAGTTGTAATGAACAAGGGTGTTTTTACCAGATTTGTTGAATTCTGGACCTCGGTTTTAAGTGTTATGGTGCTGAGCAGGGCTCGATTGATCTGGTAAGAAAACTGAGGTTATTTCCCTTTGCTTTTCAACCTATGATAATACTGAAATTGATAAATCATTTGAATAAAAGAATTATGGTATACAAGAAGAAGATGGGTGAACAAGGCGTGCAGAATGCCTATATCTTCAGATATTAATAAAATCATGTTCAATTTGTGAATTAAGTATTTAAAATAAAGTTCTCATTATTGAAATTTATGAAATTATGATTAACAAAACTTTTCTGAGAAAAAAGATCTCGGAAAAAATTATACTTTTATTAAAAAAATAAAATGGTATTCGTGGGATGCGAACCCCTATCAATAAAAATCCGGAGTATCATATTGTTTTGAGACTAACACGCTAACCACTACGCCAGGCAGCTCCTGACGAATAGTGGCATTTAAATCATGTTTGTGATATGACCCTTGACTTAATGGACTTCAAGTATTTCTCGGAAAGATGCGAATGCTTTGTCATAAAAGTGTACTTTTAAGGTATAGTGGGTCTTTGCTCCATGTTTTTGTAAACCAAAAAATGTATATTTTTATGCAAACTTTTAGGATCAACTTTCAAAAAAATGGAGCGAAGACCCACTCATATCGAAAAATTTTGTTAAAGTGTGAGAAAATGATCCTTTTTGTCCTCTTTAGTGTGTGTATGCTATTTCGTAGGCAAATAATTTCAGTCTTTGTGAGATTTTTGTAAACTGTAGAGATTTAGCATAAAATATACTTTAATGTTAGATGAAATATCAAAGAAATTTTTTATATAATTGAGATTTTATTTTTCAATTCATGTTTGTCGCACTATAGGCACTTCGCCCGCTTTGTCCACCCATCTTCTTTTTAATTAATGTATAATACAAAAAGTACATAGTTTTGAATGGCCAAGAAGACCTACTCTGCATGGTGATAGTGACAAATGGGAGTGTATTAGCACTGGCAAGTACAAACAGAAAAATTGATCTATAGTTTATGATTTGTAACCGAGTAGTACATTAACTATTCTGTTCATCCCCGATCATCACTATTTCTCTTGCATTTGGACAGCATATCTTCATCTATCAGTTAATTGTTTTATATTATACTTCTATGGAACGTTTACTGTGTTGTATGTGTATTAAAATACTCAATTATATATGTTGTACGTGTATCATACTCAAGTGACCATTAAGGCCCTAAGGCCTCTTTTACAAATATGCAAATATGCTTATTAATGATATCCCAAAAGTTCATTTCCACAATTAGATAAGGCCTGCATCAAGATAGAGGTGCCCTTAAGTATACATTTTTCCCCTCAAAAAGAATGGGCTTTCGAATTTCAATCACTGCACACATTACATCAGTCTCCTACCAGTGAAAGCAAAGGGGACTTTAGTTTCCTCCTTGTCTATCCATCTGTCTGTCCCACTTGTTTTTCTGCATTTTTTTTTTTTAAAAAATGCTTATGGACATTGAGCTGTTTTCTGGTATGTGAGTGTACCTTAATAAGTTACATATCAAGTTTGCATTTTGTTCCGAGGATTTTTGACAGAATTATGGCCTTTTTAAGGTCTGACGACATGTTGCTGTTTTGTATCTCTTCTACAAATTAATCATAATTATCAATATCTTATGATTTTTAAACTGTTTTCAAAATGTCTAAGTGGATAAATACACCAAAAAATTGTGATATTGGCAATGCTCATGATTTCAAATAGGATTATATAGTAAATACCATCCTCTAGTATCTTGCACAAATGCCTGGTAAGTAGGGATGGGTATCGCCAAAAACTTCTTATCGCGATATATCACGATTTTCCCCCAAAATATCACGATGATATCATGATATTTTTACAAGCAATTTTACAATGATTTTAGATGAATATTTATAATTTTTTCCAAAAAATATGCTGGAAAAACATAACTTCACTTTTTTCATTTTTTATTTACATAATATCAAGCAATTTTGGATACTAGGATGCCGTTCTTTTACCGTTTTCAACATTCTTTACACTTCCTGTAATTGTAATTTGAAAGATTGAACCAATAAATGAACAATTTCTGGAATTTTTAACTATATACCAAAATACCGGTATTTTAGTCTCCGTATCATGATACGTATCACACAATTAAAAATCACGATATACCGGTATACCGATAAAATCGCACATCCCTACTGGTAAGGTACCTTGATTTTTTTTAGGAAAATTGTTAGAGTAGCAATAGCCCAATGACAAGTTCTTGGAAAAAATTGTATATTATTGAGGAACTTGTCATCTGACCTAAATTTCTAATGGCGGCCAGTTTTCCAGCTTTTTTCCCCCTAAACTCTTGCAGATTTTTTTACATGAGTCTACCTACATGTAGCAGAGTTATAGATCAAGCTTGTATTTTGTTCTGCTGCAATGATTTTTGACAATTATATTAAAGGAAAAAAGTTTTTATGCCCCTGGATCGAAAGATCCCGGGGGTATATTGTTTTTGTCCTGTCTGTCTGTTTGTCTGTTTATCTGTTTATCTGTTTGTCTGTCTGTCTGTTGTCAACTTTAACCTTGCCCATAACTTTTGATTGGTTGGAGCTATGACTTTCATATTTCACATGTGTATTCCTTGTGACAAGACCTTTCTTTGGGTACCATCATATTTGACCTTTTGACCTTGACCTTGGAGTTTGACCTACTTTTGCAAAATTTTATGAGACTTTAACCTTGGCCATAACTTCTGAACAGTTGGTGCTTGGGGTTTCAAACTTCACATGTGTATTCTTTGTGACAAGGCCTTCCTTTGGATACCAACAACTTTGACCTTTTGACCTTGACCTTGGAGTTTGACCTACTTTTGAAAAACTTTAACCTTGGCCATAACTTTTGAACAGTTGGTGCTTAGGGTTTCAAACTTCACATGTGTATTCCTTGTGACAAGAACTTCCCCTGGATATCAACCACTTTGACCCTTTGACCTTGACCTAGGAGTTTGACCTACTTTTGAAAAACTTTAACCTTGGCCATAACTTTTGAATGGTTGGAGCTAGGGCTTTCATACTTCACATATGTAATCCTTGCGACAAGACCTTCCTTTGGATATCAACCACCACTTTGACCTTATGACCTTGACCTAGGAGTTTGACCTACTTTTGAAAAACTTTAACCTTGGCCATAACTTTTGAATGGTTGATGCTAGGGCTTTCATACTTCACATATGTAATCCTTGTGACAAGACCTTCCTTTGGGTACCAACCACTTTGACCCTTTGACCTTGACCTAGGAGTTTGACCTACTTTTGAAAAACTTTAAACTTGGCCATAACTTTTAAATGGTTGGTGCTAGGGCTTTCATACTTCACAAATGTAATCCTTGTGACAAGATCTTCCTTTGGACACCAACCACTTTGACCTTGACCTTGACGTTTGACTTTTATTTAAAAAACTTTAACCTTCGCCATAACTTTTGAACAGTTGTATCTAGGTCTTTCAAATTTCACAGGTGTATTCCTCGAGACAAGACCTTTCTTTGGGTATCAACATTTCTTATCTTTTGGCCTGGATTTTGAGTTGCATTTGAAGAAACTTTAACCTTCGCCATAAGCTGCCATACGGGGGCATCAGTGTTTCACAAACACATCTTGTTTTGTAATATAATTCAACCTTACTGCTTTTTTCCGCTTTGAAACACTATATTACACAAAACCACTAAAGCCACAAAAACTCAAGATTTCAAGGGTATTCCATTGTACAAAAGCATCAGGATTCTAACCTTGTTCAAGAGGTGCCGCTAGACAAGTACTACTATTGCTCACAATATGTGTCTATTATAAAGAAAACTTAGGTTTTTCCTTTCTTGGTTTAAACACAATTTATTTTTGCCAAGTTATTCTAAGGGACATCAAATTATGACAAATATGATAATGCAGTCTTCTATCTATAAATACAATGCTTAATCACACTTTTCTCCTCTCTTTGTTCATCTGTTGTATAGTTCTTCTAAGCACAAGCCTCCAATACTTATGAGTGCCAGGTTCACGTTCAGAAGCACCTCTTTCTATTTTTAGATTCCAGAGCCATTCTGGATATTCAGTTTCTGGCTTTATTTCTGGGTCAGATCCTTTGTTCATTATGTTTGCACCACATACATATTTACACAGTTTTTAATGGTCTTTTTCAGCATCAAAGAATTTGTCCACCTTTTTTTTTGCTAGTCCTTTTACTAGAAAAAAATTGTCAAGGATTAAATATCAATCACCATATGAGTACAAGCAAATCTACACTACCTGAGGATGCTTCCATATCAAAATAACTAAACATGGCTTTGCTGTTCTTGAGAAGATTTCTAAAGATTTTTCCCTATGTATTCCTATGTAAAACTTTGACCCCCCATTGGTGGCCCCACCCTACCCCCGGGGGTCATCATTTGAACAAACTTGAATCTACATTTTGTAAAGAGGGTTTCCTATAAGTTTCAACTTTTTTGGCCCAGTGGTTCTTGGGAAGACTTTTAAAACATGCCACCAAATTCTCACTATTTCTGAATTATCTCCCCTTGAAAGAGGGTGTGGCCCTTCATTTGAACAAATCTGAATCCCCTTCACCCAAGGATGCTTTGTGGCAAGTTGGGTTGAAATTGACCCAGTGGTTCTGGAGAAGAAGTCGAAAATGTGAAAAGTTTATAGACAGACAGACGGACTACAGACAAAATGTGATCAGAAAAGCTCATTTGAGCTTTCAGCTCAGGTTAGCTAAAAATCAAACACAGACGATACTTATTTTTATATTTATATCACAGAACTTTATTGACAAAACGGAGATGGCAATAGATAGGGCATGTGCTAAGAAAACCATCCAACAACATCACCAAAGTAGCTCTTAGATGGACACCAGAAGGGAAGAGGAAACCTGGTCGACCAAAGAACACCTGGCGAAGGACTGTAGAAAAGGAAATGAGAGACCACAAACTGACATAGGGAAAACTGGAGAGGAATGTTCAAGATAGAGAGAAGTGGAGAAGTCTAGTCCTTGCCCTATTTGCCCCTGGGCATAACAAGGACTAGGTAGGTAGGTAATACAACAGTGCTTAGAATAACTCCAGTTCCTAGTTGTGAAAATTTTACATGCATCAAAATAAATTAAAAAAAAACAATTTTAATGAACTACCGTAATGATTTTATTCCGAATGACTTATTTGTTGTTATAATGGATAGAGTGTGGCAAAAGTTAAATATCCAGTATGACCTGGCATTCTCCCTAATGAAATTCCAGACTTGAATGTAAAGTTCGCAACCGTTTTTTTCCCAATGTAATCCCAAGATGGCATGTCCAACACATCCCCAAACTGACTTTTATCTTTTGGGTCACATGTTTTGCTATTAGTGTCACCGGATTTCTCACACACTACAGAGTTTTCTCCCTCTGGTGAATCTGTGTCCATATCCTCTTGTTCCATTTTTTTGCTATCGTTAGGCTGTGACTTTTCTTTAGAAAATTCTGGGTTAGGCAGGTTTATCGTTCTCACATCATAATTCCTTACAAGACACTCCATTGTTGAAATTTCCTCGAATCCTAACTCATCTAGGCAAGCACAGGTCTTTTGGACTTGTTCTATACAGGGGGAGAAGGAGCAAATTCTTCCACCTAGAGTTGTATAAATATCCAAATATAAGATTGCATAATAGAAAAGAATGTGTACTTCTTTTTAAAAATATGTGTAATTTCTAAAATTTCTACAAACTAAATTATTTCCGAATTAAACTTTTTTAAACTCAACTACTTTCAGCAGCAACTTATGACATCTAAGTGATCAAAAACATTAATTTTTTTAATCTAGCAGTATATATAGTAAGTATACATGAAATGAAAAATTAATTGTTTTCTTTCTCCAGATCTCCAAAGTGATAGCTACCTATTTTTTACCAATACAATGTACTAGATTTCAGATATTCAGGTATAGTTTTAATTCTGTTGGAATTCCATTTTGCAAATCATAAGTTATTGCATTTCTAATACCTATGCGATTTTGACAGAAGTGTATTTACTGACCTTGTTTCCTCAAAGCTTTTTTGGCACTCGGTAGAGCATCCCATGGAACGGGTAAATCTAGAAATACAGCATCTGCAACATCCTCCAGATCAAAGCCAAACTGACAGACATCTTTATGTGTCACTGTGACGAATTCAGAGAGACCATGATCCTTAAACTCCTCTTCTGCTTTCTGTGCTCTTTCTTTGTGAAACTCAAATGTATAGAGATGGCCGTTTGGCAGGATGGACCTGATGATGGCATGAGATAGGGATGCGCTTCCTGTGCCTAAAAAGAATTTACATTAAGATTGTGCTTGCTTGTAAGATGGGGTATAGGTGGATGTAGGCTGTCCACCTCTCCAAAGATAGTAGCTTGTACATAGAACATTTTATCGTTAATCATGTTAATATGATTTTGTCCTATGGACCTGGTTTAACAACAGAACTCATTCCATGTGTTGTCAATGTAGCAAAATAAACGGGGCAGATAATTCTAATCTACATGTTTACTACAAATAACCAAGAGAGTTCTGAATGTCAATATTGCATGTAAATTCGAATTGAGAAAAAAAAAAACCTTGGGAAATGAGTTGAATTTATATGGATTCTTTATATGGATTATTTTTTAAGGTAGAAGACAATACACAAGCTCAATAAGGTTTTCTATGATTAATTTGGCAGTTATTTTTAGTGTAACTCCATTTTTAGTCTTCAAAATTGTTTCGGAACGGATCCGCTATGATTTTCTACATTGCAACTGTTTGGGACATATTCTGACTAACTGTGGTAAGGGCTTGTTCCCAGACAAAGTATATAGCTTAGTAGTTAGTTACATGTAGTACCTTAGATAGAATGTTCTATCGTTAAAATGATATTGTCCTACGGACCCGGTTTAATGATAGAATTCGTTCCGTGTATTGGCAATGTTGCAAAATAAACACGGACGATAACTCGTACTCTGTGCATTTTCTATGAACAATCCAGAGAGTTCCGAATGTCAACATGGCGTTAAATTTGAAGCGAGGAAAAAACGTTGAGAAAATGAGTTGAATTTTCGTATTTATATGGATTATTTTTTAGGTTAAAAGACATATACCATCTCAAAAAGGTTTGTTATGATTAATTTTGTAGTTATTTTCAGTGCAATTCCTTTCGTATTATTCAAAATCATTTGGAGTGGATCCACTCCGATCTGCTACATTGCAAGTACATGGGACGTATTCTAACTGTGGTGAGGGCTTGTCCCGAGACACAGTTAGATTATTCTAACTAGTAGTACCTGATTCAACAACAACTGCTCCAGGTTTGAGGTCTAGTTGGAAAGAAACCACACTAATATCTGTTGAGTATAGAATCTGAGTTCTATGAGGTAAGTTTGAGGTCCACAACTCTGGGGTTGGATATAATACATAGAGATATCCCTTGGGACAATGCACTCGGCTGCCATAGATGGTCCCTATAATGTCACTGTGCCTTAGCGCCCCATATTTCGTTTGAAAAACTGCACCACGTTTAATCTTGATAGCATGCATATTTTCATATCCAAGGTAGAGTATGACAGTGTCATCTTCTTGGACTCTTTCGTGATATTTTAGGAAACTCATGCTTCCAACTCAACACCAACACCGGATATCGCAATCGGGGAACAGGTACGAAACAACTTGTACTGGATGTGCTTCGTGTAGTTGAACACAATCCATGCTCAGCTTTCTGAGAACATGCAACAACCCAGGCAGTTATCCAGAGAACGTCTTAGAATAGACTGACACGGAGTTATTTGGTAAAATAATGTATTTTTCTTAAAATTAGTTTACTTCTATTCATAGGCATTTAATTTGTAAACTTAAACATTATCAACGGCGAAATATATATTCTTATGCAGTGGGCTCGAATACGAAAGCTTATTAGGATCAATCTATGAAGAAACAAATTTTAAAAGGCGTTATTACGCCTTTCCAAAAGTCGTTATCATACCTTTTGAAGAGCCATTCTTACCCCCCCCCCCAAAAAAAAAAAAACTGACAAGCAAACAACCCCCCCCCCCGCACTCGTACTACCCAGGCCCGTAGGAAGCAATTTCAGTTGGGGGGGGGGGGGCACAGCCATACATTTTCAGTTGGAGGGGCACTATCAACTACCAAAAATTATTGACAAAAAAAAAGGGTCATCAGACGTTTTTATTGAGGGGGCACAAGCATATGGTACCTATGTTTTCTGTAGTAATCTATATATCGGCAAAATTATTGGGGTGGGGGGGCACGCCCCCCCCCCCGTGCCCCCCCCCGTTCCTACGGCCATGCTACCGGCCTGTTTGAAAAGGCGTTATATCCAAAAATGGAAAGGCGTTATCTTATATAAATAAATACATGAAAGATTGAATCAAAGCCATCTTTATTTATGCAATATTTAAAAGTATTTTCTATATTCCTGCACATTTCGCAGACAACTGTATGCGTATTTTAAAGTCAACACTCTACTTGTGAAAATGCAGGATATAGGCAGATGCAGCTTGGGGCTTTGCTGGCCATGTATTAAAAATTCATGTCAAATTTGAAAATATTTTTCTCTCCTCTTTGGAAAAAAAAACAGGTAAACTATTTGCATGGGTATAATGAGCAATTAGCCTTTAACAAAATTTCTGAAATCCATGACTTTTGCATGGTAGAGTTATCTGGCATCAGAGAAGGACTAAGTTGTTTTAACATTGAAAATATATTACACATTTAAAAATCTGTTTCCTGAAAATCTAATTACCATGATTACAATATGTTTAAATTAAAGGAATAAGCCCTATATTTGATCGAGAAATTCATGTCCCGAGGGTAAAATTTCAGCCCTCGGAGTGGGCTAAATAAGTCATGTTTTGAAAATAATGGGCTTAATTTCGCCTTTTGGAAAAGCGTAATAACGCCTTTTGAAAATGCGTAATAACGCTGTTTGGAAGGGCGTAATAACGCCTTTTAAAAAAAAAATTAGGAAGTTGTAATAACGCTTTTAGAAAGGCGTAATAACGCCTTTCGAAAAGGCGTTATTACGCCTTTCAAAAAGGCGTAATTACGCCTTTTAGAAAGGCGCAATAACGCCGTTATGAAAGGTACGAAAGCCTATTAGGATCATCTATGGAGAAAAAAATTAAAAGACGTTATAACGCCTTCCAAAAAGGCGTAATAACGCGAAAAAAGGCGTTATTACGCCTTTTTCAAAAGGCGTTACTACGCCTTTCAAGAAGACATTATTACGCCTTTCTAAAATTCGTTATTTCGCCTTTCAAAAAGGCGTTATTACGCTTTTTCAAAAGGCGTTATTATGCCTTTCTACGAAAGCCTATTAGGATCAAACTACGGTAAAAAAAAATTTTAAAAGGCGTTATAACGCCTTTTCAAAAGGCGTTATAACGCGAAAAAAGGCGTAATAACGTTATAACGCCTTTCCAAAAGGCGTTATTATGCCTTTCCAAAAGGCGTTATTACGCCTTTTATGGGACACCCCCTCCCATCCACTTTAAAAGCACGGGCCTGTCAAAGACATAATAATGGCCCTTCAAAAGGCATAAAAACGCCTTTTTGAAAGGTGTATTAATGCCTTTTAAAAAGGCGTAATAACGCCTTTTGGAAAGGCTTAATAACGCCTTTTGGAAAGGCGTAATAACGCCTTTTGGAAAGGCGTAATAACGCCTTTTGGAAAGGCGTAATAACGCCTTTTAGAAAGGCGTAATAACGCCTTTTGGAAAGGCGTTATAATGCCTTTTGGAAAGGCGTAATAACGCCTTTTAGAAAGGCGTTATAACGCCTTTTAGAAAGGCGTAATAACGCCTTTTGGAAAGGCGTAATAACGCCTTTTGGAAAGGCGTAATAACGCCTTTTGGAAAGGCGTTATAACGCCTTTTAGAAAGGCGTAATAACGCATTTTTTCGCGTTATAACGCCTTTTGGAAAGGCGTAATTACGCCTTTATTTGCGTTATAACGCCTTTTTCCGTGTTATAACGCCTTTTCAAAAGGCGTTATTACGGCTTTTTTCGCGTTATAACGCCTTTTGAAAAGGCGTTATAACGCCTTTTAAATTTTTTTTTACCGTAGTTTGATCCTAATAGGCTTTCGTAGATAAGAGATGTGCCCCCAATATTATAGAAAGAATGGCATTGTCTATGTTTTAATTTGCTATGGATCGAAAACCCTAAATACTGGTTCGATCGAAACGTAGGAGATGCGCAATGCCACTATGTTATAAACGTTTCGTGTTTCATTAAGTTGCATTCAGTGATGTAAAAGGAGTTGCGGATTACAGATTGGTACCCCCATCCCTCCAAAGTAACGGATGTACGGATAACGTCATCACTATATACGGTAATACCCCGCTTTTCAAGTGGGGAGTATAAAGATATTCAGGCAGATTAGAATTGGAAGCCATTTCTATCGCTCCCATAGGAAACCCGGACTCCTACTTAGTTGATACAGAGATAGTCTTATACATACATATATACAGAAAAGAGGCATATCATGTCCATGACATAAGACTGCATGTGTATCGATATAGCCCCCCCCCCCAATATTCTCCCACGAAATAGGTTTTTCGTGTCTATAATTAATTTATGGAATATGTAGCATACATACAGTAAAATTATTTATCTATTTCCAGATGAGAAATAATCAAGAGAGAGATCTCTAGGAAGGAAAAAAGTGCTATTGGAAAGTTCAAGTTGTAATCTAATATTCTAGCTGTTCTAGAACTGCTCGGCAAAACTCTTTCTTTTTAATCCGACGTACTAATTATCTTACAATTCTGCGTGTGTCATACTCTAGTCAAATTGTATGCTTCTTTGAAATTCTTAAGAAGTCCCTCTTAAGTAGAGGGTCTTTCCAAATTTTCATACTTAATACAAAGATTGCGTAGCACGCTGAGCAGAAACATTCTCTTAAAATTTAAGGCGTTGGATTATTAAAGTGGTTTATTATTTAAGATATAATGTTTGGCTAAGAAACTTTCTTTTCTTCAAAAAATCATAAAGAAAGAAAATCAAACATAATTTATTAATTATTGTATATGAATTACTTCGTTGATTTAAAAATTGATATATCTTAATATAAATTTCAATTTAAATATATCAGTTTATACTTAAAACTTGCATTCATAATTATCTCGTTTTCTTGAATCATTTGTTTTATGTTTTGTTACTATTTTTGGTGGATTTTATTTAAGATTCTCGATGAACAGATTTTTTTTAATGTGTTAAAACTGCGGAGTATATGGATTGGTGGAGCTTTGAACTGATTGGAGAGGAACTATAGTTCAGGGGCGGATAACTCTAAGACAAACATATATAATTTGAAAAAAAATGCCAAAAGAGGGAACTTGAAATATTCCATTCATGCATAAATCCGTGCTTCTTAGTTTAAATACAATTGCAGTCAGCTTTTATACTGATCATCCCAAAAGTGCATCTTACGTTCAATGCCCAAACAGAAGCTCACGCTATGAACTTTCTCTTTTTTTTTTTTACAACCCCCCTCTTCTCCCAACTCTCACTTCCTTTTTCAAGTCTCTCTTAACACCCCTCCCTTGCCTGGCATGAAACGTAAATAGTTTCCATACCATATACAGACATCCATGAAATCAAATGACGAAAATTTCACAGTATCGAAAGCATTGTTCGCCATAACTAAGCACACTTGAAATAGAACATGACAAAGCTATGTATAACAGTATCAGCACGGAAATTAATACTTTATGCAGATCATGTCTAAATCTCTACACTTAATAAACCAATAGTTCTTCGAACGAAGCATCTGAAAATATACAATCCATTTAAGGATATTTCTTCCGCGTTTTTATTTGTGTTAATATCCGTCCTTGTTCATACACATTCTCAATAATGCAGTAAATATGTTTGTGTGTGTAGTATTGACAGTCCTGGTGCTTGGCCTGCCCGGGGGTCAAGGAATTTGCCCGAGTAAGAACGGGACCACGGTAGACTGGTGGATAATTTACCAACAGCGATCAATGCCGTTTTTTCATTTCTATGTAGATAGTACAAGTAATTCGGATGTTTCAGTAAGCACGTTATTTTTTTTTCTCCGTTTCTCTAATACGAATATTCAAAGATAATGGAAGCTAAGATATACTTTAGTTCTTGAAACTGATACATAAAAGATGCATAAAAACTGCTATATATGCAAATGATTCAGTAGCAGCCTCTTTAAGACAAATGAAATTTATACATGTAATCTTATTACCAGAAGTTCAATTTTTAATCAATGTTGATGCTATGTTTCTTTTATGAAACATCCGAAATTGACAATATCCAATAATTATCTGCCTTTTCAAAGGACAGTCTACCTTAAAATTGAATGATGCCTTTAAATTTTATTTTAGATCATATTTAACAGTATATTTTTAAATAGCATTTAATAGTTTTAAGAGCACTGTTACAAATTCTATAGTGATTCTAAAGTCACACTTTAGCGATATCACTTAGATGTACTTAAATTGCATGACTGACACACAACTATTATCTTTACTCAATCATCGAGTTTTCAGAATTTGGACTGTCATCTCTTTTTTACAGAGGCTAGCATATTTCATCTCTCTGGAAATTATAATGAGATGGGACTTCTCATTTTATCATTTTATTTTTATTATTATTATCATTTGGGGGGGGGGGGCAAAGGCGGATCCAGTGCCCCCCCCCCCCTCCGTTTGATTTTTTTTTTTACATGTATGTAGAACTTATACATCCATTATCCTAAAATCAAGGAAAAAGCAGCGCTTACGTCAGCTTCCGGGAGCTTCGCCCCCAGACCCCCCCCCCGGACTTTGCCCTGGACCCTCTGGGGACTTCAATGCAGCCTCCAGACCCCTGTCTTCTATTGCACCCTTCGTTATGAAATTCTTGGATCCGCCACTAGGGAGGGGGCAATTGAACCAGAAATGATCAATGAGACGCAATAGCTTCCTATAATGCCTAAATGGAGATTCAAAATGCTTCAAACCATGACCCCGAAACATTAATAAAGCCAAAAAATGGTCCAAAGTTTACAGACAAACATAAGAGAAAAATCTCAAGATACTATTTTTTAAAATATGTATGCATCCTCAAGTTTAGTAGATATCAAACTGGACTAATTTTTGTCCTTTGTGGCAGTGACGAAGCTACAACATCGGTTCGGTTTTTACAGAAATCTATAAGAAAAGCTCTTTGAAATACTTATCAGTTTGCTTCACACAAGTCAGTATATAAGAGAAAGACCTTAATCAGGTCTAGAAGTTGTTGCACTAAAAGGTGACCGTTTTGGTCAATGGGCATGGTTAATTCCTGTTTCATCTTCGCCTTAGTGACTCGAACGATCGAAAAATATACAAAGTTTTATATGAATGTAACAATTTTATATACATGTGTATAAGTAATTAAATTAGCATCTACTACTTTGCTCTAGTTTCATAGACCAGAAAATCCGGACAGCGCCTTGGCCAGAGCCTTAGATCTGATTATTAACGACGTCTTTCCTCAATATTTTACTTATTCCTACGATCTGATTAACATCATGAGAGTAGCGGAGACACTCAGATTTCCAACATACGGCAAATGGATGCAGGTTACAAATTTTATAATAAACATTGAAATAATCATCTTTTTTTACTTGTCGGTGGTATAAATCGCACAGATGTGTATGTAAAAGGTATAATATTGTATATCTTATGTTATTCATAGCTTGAAAGAAGATGGCCGGGGTGGCTGGGTTAAGGGCATAAAAAAGAAAGAATCGTTGATATATTTAAAACTCACATACATGTACTTACTTCTATTGCGCCACCATATATTTCATACTGGCAATGAACAATATATTATACAATTATGGACTCTTTCGGTGGTGAATATGGTTTGTTATTCACCAGAAAAATATCAATATTGACCGAGGCGAAGCCACCGACGGCCATGACTTTATTTTATTTTTTTTTCACCACCGAAAGAGTCCATAATTGTTTTATTATATAGTCCGGATTTGAATAAATAAGACTTTGAAATCTGCATGATGATATCACTTTCATTTACGAACTTCTGTCGTGGAAATTTTTTTAAAAAATGTCCAGATTACAAGTTATAGCTTCCGTGTTTTCCTTTTGCTGTTTGTAAGACATCGAAATGTTTAGAAAATAATCCTGCGATAGGCTTGGCTACTGTTTTTCCTGCTCAGATACACAGCTGGCTCTTGCCGTTGCAACCATTGTTTACAACGTTGTTTGAGATGTTGATTGTGACGTCACAATGCCGCTGCACGCGCACCGACCCTCCGGTGAATACGTAGTGTTATGAACTGTTTGCGTTTGTATAGATTATATAGGGACTATAAATAGACTATATAATAATTTTTGTTATGAATATTTATTGTGTATCAATAACAAAGTACATGTATTTCATTGCATATTGTTTAGTTTTCATTGTTAAATTACAGGGTATTTTAGCAAGTGACAAAAGCACTGAAAAGGGATTCTGGATTCTGCATAACAATTTTCTTTTTCCGGCGTTTAGTAATCGCCAGTTACAGCCTCCGACCTCATATTCCTGGAAAAGTTCAACCATTGGAGACAGTAGTGAAGATCTGTTTTATGTGTGTATGTCACTAGGTATGTCTGTCTGTGAGAATCGTACACGTATCCTTGTACGTTTTCTATAAATGTCTCCAACGTTGCTGTGGGAGAATAAGTCCCCTCGTGCAATGGCTCTGATTATAAAGTCATGGCCGTAGGAAACGGGGGTGGGTGGGGGGAGGGGGGGAAGGCGCCCCCCTCCCCCATAATTTTGCCGATATATATATAATACTATAGAAAACAAAGCTACTATAGGCTTGTGCCCCCTCAATAATAACGTCTTATGACCTTTTTTTTGTCAAGAAAATTTTGTAGTTGACAGTGCCCCCCCCCCCTCAATTGAAAATGTATGGTTGTGCCCCCTCAAAGTGAAATTGCTTCCTACGGGCCAGATAAAGCACAGTAGTTTGTCATGATCTACTGATCCTCTAGGTCTTATACTTTTTGAATACCGCTACACTATAAAATGTGTAGTTTATAGTAAAGGGGTGGGGAAACAAGAGGCCCTTGGGCCACAACGCTCACCTGACTAACTTTGGTCTTGCTGTTTTTCACCTGATCCGCCCCTCTTGTAATGCCTATTGTGGCCCCGCCCTACCCCAGGGGTCATGATTAAAATACTAGTAATTTAGAATCTGCACTACCCCAGGATCAGCTGCTCTGGCTCAGTGGTTCTTGAAGATTTCTAAAGATTTTTTCCTATATATTTTAATGTAAAAATTGAATTACCTATTGTAGCCCCGCCCTACCCCCAAGGGTCATGATTTAAAGAATTTAGAATCTACACTATCCCAAAATGCTTCCACATAAGTTTCATATTTTCAGGCCCGGTGGTTCTTGAGAAGAAGATTTTTAAAGATTTTTTCTACATATTTCAATGTAAAACTTGGATTCCCTATTGTGGTCCCACCCTTCCCCCGGGGGTCATGATTTGAACAATTTACAATGTATACTACTTCAAGATGTTGTCATATAAGTTTCAGCTTTTCTGGCCCAGTGGTTCTTGAGAAGAAGATTTTTTAATGACCCCACCATATTTTTGTCTTTTCTTTATTATCTCCCCTTGTAAGGGGGCAGTTTATTTTAACAATTTAAACTCCCCTTTACCCAAGAATGCTTTGTACCAATTTTGGTTAAAATTGGCCCAGTGGTTCTTGAGAAGAAGTTGAAAAAGTGAAAAGTTTACAGACGGACGGACGACGAACAACGGCTGATCAGAAAAGCTCACTTGAGCTTTCAGCTCAGGTTAGCTAAAAACCAGGACAAATAGATGGTGCATATGACGAGCCCATGTGCAGAAAGTGGCGCATTTCACAATTACAAAATACTAGTATATTTTCTGTATTTGTATATTGTTCGATTACCTGAATAAGAATAAATAAAATCACAAAAATACAATAACTCGTTTAGCAAGTACGTGTATATTTAGGTGAAGAGTGTTTAATACATATATTAGAGCCATGTATGGCATTCTTGTTGACAGAAAATCGAGAAAGTTTACTAGACGCAGTTAAAAGCATCTTAGCTGGGAATCCTTTTATTTACCACAAAAAGCTGACTGATATGAAACTTGAAGATTACTTCACGGAAATCAAGGAGAGGAACCATCCATTTTCATTATTGGCTTCTGCTAATACGTACTTGGTACTTATAATTCTGAAAATTTACAATTTTTAGTCCGAATTTTACTGTTTCATTGCAATCACTTTGCTATGTTACCAATTTTAATACGTATTTATACGTTAAAATATCGCAACTTTGCTGTATCTCTGCCCTTTGCATTGTTCAGCAGGAAAAAAAAGATGAGTGAGATTGGATTCAATATCTTAATTTTATCTAATTCAAAAAGCCTAAAAGTTTCCTTTGCTTTTAATGATATTATTTTTTTACTAAGCTATTATTATTATTATTATTATTTCATTCTCCAGGAATGTTTGACAGCAACAAAAGAATCAAAGCGCCATCGATGTATGTATCAGTTTGCAACGAAAAACGTACAAGCTATTCAAGTTTACACAAGACCACGGGGCATTTTACAGGGTGGGAGCCGTTTCTGTTACAACCAGCAATCAAATGCTTTGTTCGAGTTTACTAGTGTTGCCAATTCTGACCCAACTAACATTATTTCCGCCAATAACATGTTTGTGATTTCCGACAAAGTGACGTCAGAACAATATGGCGTTGTTTGCTTTGGTCAAGATGTTGCCGCCAGCTCTGATACGGTGTCAGTAATGGTCAGTCGCTTGAATTACTAATATGACATACTGTGGAAAAATATTGAATTTACAGAATAAAATGTGTAGAAAGTTGGTGTAAAATACAGGCTTTCTAGCAATCAATTCGAACACGTTCTTCCATACAGGAAGTTATTTAAAATTGGCAGAGGGTCAAGGGAGAGAGAGAGAGAGAGTTACCATTGCTTTATTTAAGGTATTGATCAAGAGTTTCAAACATATAATGAAATATATTTTGTTGTTTACATTTGCAATTCAATATTGTAGATTTGTGGTAAACTACCGGGATTATGGCGAACTTTGGTTCAGTCGTCTATGTTGACGAATTGGGGATGTCCAAATCATGGTTTGGGAAAGACGGAGAAAACAAAGCAAACCAAACATCTGCAGAAACCAACGCATCACGGAATTCCTTCTCCTCTTACTCAATCGGTGAGTGCTCAAGTCAAAGTTCCAGAAGTGCGACGGCTAAAACGTGACGTAACGTCTGATTCTGAAAGAACCAATGAAAAACGTCGATCGCGTTCCAAAAGAGAGGAAAAACCGAAAAAACACAAGAGATCAAAAAGAGATACGTCTCGTGAATCAGAAGAAAATAAGAAGAAAGAATCATTCGAACATCCAAAGAAAAAGAAAGTTGATTTCAAAAAGTCGGAAGTTGGTCATGAAAAGTTTTTGAAATTTGAAGAAAAAGAAGACGCTGGGTAAGAATTTTTGTGAGAAATCCCTAAAAATATTATCAAAACTGTCAGTAAATACATTCGGCAAACTTTTACGACGAAAAAATAAATTGTTCAAAACAAAGTTCTAAATTCTGCGAAACAGCAATATTCTTTTTCTTTCATTATTTGACGTTATTCATTTCCAGAGAGGATAAATCATACGCAAAGTTAGAGCGGTACATGGAAATAAAAATGCCTGTTGAAAAACCATCTCAGGAAAAAGAACCCCCCAAAACAGTGGTCAAGATCACAACATTAGACGAACTTCAAAATTCAGTAGTAGAAAACAAGAATCAACTAATTGCTATTTTCTGCAGGAAAGGTATATCATTAAAATAAAAATTATTAGGACAAAACTATGGTCAGAAAGTTGTTTTTTTTTTTCAAGTCAAAAATTCAAAAATATATAGTGCTTATGATTTTATCCGAGATTTCCAAAAAGAACATTTTTACTACTTTTGTAAACCCACGTTACTCTTAATGTACTTTTTTTTTTATTGTTTTACACAGGTTGTAGATTTTGTGCGGCAACAGAACCAAAATTTCAAATGTTGATTGATCATTTCCAAAAAGAAGATGTGGACTTCTACCATGTTGATGTCAGCGAGATAGAAATGCCCTATCAGTTAGAGGTAGAGTGGACCCCTTATGTAAGGCAAGTTGTACTAGTCAATATTTTATACTTACTACGTCTATAGTACATCATAGAAATGCCCTATTAGCTAGAGGTAGAGTGGACCCCTTATGTAAGGCAAGTTGTACTAGTCAATATTTTATAATTACTACATCTATAATACATCATAGAAATGCCCTATCAGTTAGAGGTAGAGTGGACCCCCTATGTAAGGCAAGTTGTACTAGTCAATATTTTATAATTACTACGTCTATAGTACATCATAGAAATGCCCTATCAGTTAGAGGTAGTGTGGACCCCTTATGTAAGGCAAGTTGTACTAGTAAATATTTTATAATTACTACATCTATAGTACATCATAGAAATGCCCTATCAGTTAGAGGTAGTGTGGACCCCTTATGTAAGGCAAGTTGTACTAGTCAATATTTTATAATTACTACGTCTATAGTACATAATAGAAATGCCCTATCAGTTAGAGGTAGAGTGGACCCCTTATGTAAGGCAAGTTGTACTAGTCAATATTTTATAATTACTACGTCTATAGTACATAATAGAAATGCCCTATCAGTTAGAGGTAGAGTGGACCCCCTATGTAAGGCAAGTTGTACTAGTCAATATTTTATAATTACTACGTCTATAGTACATCAAAGAAATGCCCTATCAGTTAGAGGTAGAGTGGACCCCTTATGTAAGGCAAGTTGTACTAGTCAATATTTTATAATTACTACGTCTATAGTACATCATAGAAATGCCCTATTAGCTAGAGGTAGAGTAGACCCCTTATGTAAGGCAAGTTGTACTAGTCAATATTTTATACTTACTACGTCTATAGTACATCATAGAAATGCCCTATCAGTTGGAGGTAGAGTGGACCCCTTATGTAAGGCAAGTTGTACTAGTCAATATTTTATACTTACTACGTCTATAGTACATCATAGAAATGCCCTATCAGTTAGAGGTAGAGTGGACCCCTTATGTAAGGCAAGTTGTACTAGTCAATATTTTATACTTACTACGTCTATAGTACATCATAGAAATGCCCTATCAGTTAGAGGTAGAGTGGACCCCTTATGTAAGGTAAGTTGTACTAGTAAATATTTTATAATTACATCACTATTCTGCTTTCAAATTGATAAATGAAAACAGTGTGTGGTTGTGATGTGGTGGTGGTGGTGCCAGCAAAGGGGGGTGGGGTGGGGATTAAATGTTTACCTTATCTAAAAACAATGAATTTAGAATACATGAGTATAGGGTGATATGCTTTAGATGATCAAGTGAAATTGATTAATTTCCAAACAAAATCTGAATTTCATTAACCTTTCTTATCTTACTAATCACAGATTTAAACCTAGAGGGGTTACTCAGCTGTTCCCCTACCACTGGGTAGACTTCGATGGAGAAGAGTATGATTTTCGAAGCATGTACCAATTCCTGGACAAACATGTGGAAAAGTCAGGAATATTTCATAATACACATTAAAAAAAAAAAAATAAACAAAACAAAAATTCTGTTAACTTTCAAGCAAGGTACTTGTATATTTCAGTGTTTTTTTGTTTTCGTTCCAGGATAGAGGGAAGTGAGAAAATGCCTAGAACTTCTAGAGATTTGCAATTTTAAAAGTGACACTACAAAATACAAGAAACATACATGTATTTATCATTTTGATATTTGATACCATTTTTATTTTTAAAAAATTGCAAAGCATTTTTTTTTTTACCAAGAATATATTTGTATTCTATCCTTCATTGTTTGAGTTTTAAATTAAAAAAAGTATAGGTATATATTACAATTTTCACTTTGAGAATAAATTTTGATTACAAATACATGGCTGAATTTTAAAACATAATTACATGAATGTACATGTATTTTTGACTTCATTCTGAATATATTTTACACTGTGTCTGATTAAGTTTGACTTAAAAAAAACCCACACTCATTTCAGTACAAACATTTCTCCATCTGATTACAAAGTAAGTATGAAAATATGTACTCAGTACAGCAATTTTATAAATATGCCTTTAGTACTCACTAAAATAGCCTGCAAAAAATATCTCTCATTTTTATATTTGTAAGCAGAAGATACAACTGAAGATTAATAGTCTTAAATGCCATTTATAAAATGTTGATTAGGACAAAAAAGGTCTCCGGTGAAGTTGTATTTTTCACAGAAGGAAAATACTTCCGATTCCATTCTTTTTATCAGAAATTATTACATTTTTTACCCTGGTAAATAAGTGATGTTTGACATTACAGAATATTAAAAAAATATGGGTTCTGAAACCTCAAACACTACAATATTTAAACTAATTAAATATTTAAAGTACCTTTTCAATAAACACATAAAAAACTTCACTAAACACTCACTTTCCTTGAACACACTTGATAACAAATACATGTATAACAGGTATCCCAAAGTGGAAATATTGGGATGTATATATTTTTAAAAATTGCACTATCACAGCTCATTCAACAATGAAAACACATCACTGTCAACTTGCAGCGAAATTTCCGAAATTTGTTTTCAATGCTATGGTAGGTTTGGCTGGCAGCTGGCTTATTTTCTGTTGATTCGCTGCTGCCTCTTCTTTCTTCTTCTGAGTAGAAAGCTGAGTCTGGCTGTGTTTGATCGCCAGTCCTAATTTTAATTTAAGGTCAGCATGTGACATCATAATATTCTTAAACTGTTCTGGATATAGGGGTCCTATTTTGACTAGTCTTTGTAAACAGTCATCATGGATAGCTTGTGTAGGTTTAGAAACAGATGAGTATTTCTTCTCATCCACCAGGAAAGATACTAATACAGGAAGTAACAAAGAAAGCAGGGTCAGTCCTGAAATAAACAAACAATTCATTACAACATCAGCACTGCTTCATATGTGTGTTGTTTTTTTAAATACCACAGCAATTACTACTCTGACATACATTTTGCAATTGATGAAAAATTTCTAAATAAAATTTCCTTCATATACACACACATTAAACACCTATGGAGTCCTATGTTGATTTTATTTTGTAAACAGTTACAGTTAATTGACTTGTTATAGGAAAATGCAAATATGGAAAGACTGTACGTGATTTAGTATTTTATCTTACTTTTGTCATCTTCGGCTTTGGCTACCAATACTTCTGCAAAGTTCAGAGAGGCAGTCACCAGTGCCTGCTGGGAATCAAGACCAGATTTATCATCTTTTAATATGAGTAAATATTCTAAGAACTTGGCAGCTACCCCACGTATGTAGGGTGTTGCATCTTTGGTGTCCAGTTTTTGTATCACAGAGGTAAACATCTGTAAACACTTCAGCTGAACCTGAAACAAAATGTGAATTCATGTGGCATAAAAATTTATACCTAAACAATTTTTCTTTTCATTCCTATTTTTTAGGTACATAAACATCAGAATTTTTAATAATAATAAAATACCAGCATTCCCTCAACATTCTCTGAAACTTATCTGATATAAACACAAAGGTAGTGGAACTCATAAATCCATGTACATTGTACCTTGTAGTACACTACACCAACTATTAACTGCAACATTTTTTATTCACAAATTGTCATTTCTGAAATCAGTCCATGACTACTAAAAATCACTTTTTATTCACATAATTATGTGAGATGGTCTGCTTGCAAAAATTTCATTCTCACATTTATTTTTTTGAGGAAAAATTGTGTAAAACAGTAACCAGAATTAAAAATTTTGAAAATTTTGTATTGCTTATAAATACAAAACACCCGTCTTGTGAAAATAGGGTGTTGCAAAAATTTGGTGAACTTCTATTAATGTTCAGGACTAATGAAGCAATCTACATTAGCACACAATGAAATAAATAGTTCGCATCAGGAAATATACACAATTAAAGAAGGCTATGAAACTTCCATATATTGCTCACAAGTGAATAATAGTTGATTTAAAGTATTCTGGGTCCAAGTCTTTTTTTACATGGTCTTCACCACCAATGTAACCATGAATGTTTCTGTTTTGAAATTACCTCTGGAAGTTTGGATTCCCAGCAATCCTTGAACATAGTGACACACTGCTTCTGAATTGAGGGAGTCTGTGCTATCTCCTTTGGACCCCAAACCAAAAACATCGTAACTGTGGCAAGCAGGGTCACTTCATCCATACCAGGCTTATCATCACCTAAAGAAAAATTTTAAAGTTTTTTTATAGTAAAAGGTGACGTTCTAAATTTAAATTACTGATTTTTAAAATACATGTTTACATTTTTGGACAAAAATGAAATTTTCTTTGAGCTAATGGTAATCAATAAAAACTATTAATAAACCTTCACAAAATGCTACAATCTGATTAATTTTGAACAAGTTACAAGAGGAGGTAGCATATACATATTGTTTAAAAAGCTTGATGACTATAAATAGGACATAATGATTTGGCTTTATTTCCAGCACACAAATTGCACAAAGTTTTAATTAATGTACAATTTAAAGTATAAACTTCATACTCGGCTTGGCATTTTGAAGCACAGTAACTAGAGCACTTCTGAGAAGTTCCCTCCATTTACTTCCTACATCTTCATCCTCCAAAAACGAGGAAGAGCACAGAGTACGGAGAGCTGTTAGACAGGCCTGTACCACAACGGGGGACTTCCTCTCAGCACCTTTATTAGACATCTCTCGTAAAACACCAGTGATGAGGAAGAGAATTGTAGGAAGTACTGAAGTGGAACCTGGAATAAAAGCAACAGGATAATGAATAGCAATTCCAGACATCAATCAAGAGGAAATGTTACTGTAAATGTACAAAAATTAGGACACTCAAGTGTAATCATACTCTTCAACTGATTAGCACAATCATAAATTAATGCATTTGAGTGCTTAATTACAGATCTACAACATATGTGTGTACATGAAAACGCTCAAAAATATCAATGTACATGTATGTACTGTAACAAAACTCTGACAATTTGATTTACTGTGGCAAAACCTTTCGTAATACTTTGATTCGCTATGTCAAAAACTTTGATTCACTATATATATATATATATATATATATATATATATATATATATATATTGGTTTGGAAAGTATAAACCAAAATTTTTAGATTTTTATTGAAATTCCACTAGATGTTTGATTAAGATTCATACTTCACACTTACCATTTTTGGAACACATATTAGGAAGGTCTGCAAGAATAAGCACAATGGAAGCTACCAGTGAACAGTTTTCCTCTGACATTTTAGTGAGTCTTGTTGGGACTTGGAATCCTGTGCTGGGAGCTGATGGATTAAGGGCTGGAATCTGTCTAGATATCACACACAGGCACACCTCTAATGCTGCGTACACCACAGATTTCTCTGGAATAATGTCCCCCTCCTCCCCTCCATCTCCCATGGAGCCACTGTCAGATGTATCCTCAGACTCAGAGCTAGTACTTGTTGGAGTTTCCAATTCTTTTTCTATAGAAAACAATTCAGTATAAAATATTATTTAAAGGCCCATAACTTTGACATACAATATAAAAATTTCTGATGCTTGAAATGTTGCATTTTGATCCTTAAATTGTAGTGTTCAAGCTAAATATTTGTAATTTCCTCAGTTTGCTATGTCAAATTATGTAGATTGCAATATTTTACATTCTTTTCTTGTGATTATCAAATCTTTGGGAAAAGCTACAGCTATAGTACTTGTGAACAATCCAGTAGAATCTTAATTATTTGCCGTTTCCTACCTTTGAATTTTGTCCTGTCTTGCTGAAGGCAATCTTTACCAGCTAACAACACAGCTTTGACCACTTTGACAGCTAACAGCTGAGTGTACACATTTTCCTGTGTCAGGAATACTCTGAAAATACAAGATATTCCATAGCATTTTTTTCTCTCTCTCTACCAAATACGTACGTTTATACAAATAAAAATTGCTGGTTCCTGGCAATTTACTATAAGCGTGTTTTACTGCCAGTGGTTATTATACCTGTGCATCACATTCAGAACTTCCTTGGACAGGATTGGGTCTGCCCCTATTTGTTGTTTTGGCCAGTCAGAACTCAGAACTGCAGCCAGTGCTTTCAGAATGCCATTGACAGCATGTGTTGTCAGAACAGTTTGAGGATTGGACAGGGCTTCAACACAGATACCTGAAAGAACAGACAAACTTACTTCAATATCCATTATCAAGAAAGTAAATGTATCTCTATATATACTGTACATGTATTTAGATTCTAAAATTTTTGTTAAACAAAATTAAGGCAATGAAGTGAAAAACATGTACCTTGGAATATGTATTAAGACTCTGAATTAAATAAAATTCTAAACAGGTAACAAAAAGTACTTAATTTATGAGTGCAATTTCAGTTTGTTCAAATTAAAACCTCTCAATAAATTTACTTCTACTCAGTTACATACCAAGGATAAGATACAGTCTGTCTGAGTTGATCTCATCCCTCTTCATGTTAGCGGGGGCATTAGCTGGAACACTGGAGTTCTTATCACTCTCTTTGTTCATCTCTCCGACAGAAAAGCCTGTCTCATGTAGCCAGATGGCCAAAGCATGAAGGATTGGAGTCCAGCGCTTTTTGTAGTGAGGTTTAGCACTGTCTATAGTGTCTGGGTGGTAGAAAGTTCCACCGTCTGATGGCAGCTGACTAGAATATTCTGGGGGGAAAAAGACAAAACTGAAAAGTTAAACTTGTACTTTTCCCATGTACAAATGATTGCCAGACGGCAATTATTGTTTGTACATGTACACAGCATATTTTTACCTGTTGGGAGGGAGAGATATGCATAGTCTCTGAGGGCTCCTAACCAGTTTTGACTGAGGGTGGGGAGTTCTGGCTGTACCAGGGACAACAGACTCTCCCTGGAACTCTCTCCGTATTCCTCCTCCTCCCTCTGGGGTTTAGTTTCCTTTTCATGCTCCCTTTCTACTGCCACAATATACACCTGAAATGAAAATCAATGGAACAGCTATAGCACTTGAAACTTTTTGACAACAACATTTACTCTGCAAAATATGACATAATTTTCATTTTTTTCTCCCCCTCCACTTTTTAAACTCATAAATGACAAAGAATACGAAGGGTTACATGAAAACGCTCATGAAACATGAAAATGAAAATACGAAGTTCGAAGTATTAACTTGAGGAACTGAGGATCAACATTTTGATTTCTGTAAGGATTTCAATTTTGATAAGAATTCATTTGACTCCATTTTTTGTCAAGCAACAACTTGTATGCTTCAATGTGTATACAGAGTCAGTGAACAGACTGTTTTTCAAAATTGCCAATGATGAACTTCAGTAATGATTTACAGCACTAAGAATAACTTTTGACAGATTGTTTCTAAGCACTGATTAAAGATCACATTATAAAATAAATCTGAGAATACTGGCACAAGTCTTACCTCTGCCCAGGCTCCCAGTACAGCTAATTTTTCCATGGTAACAGCACTCTCATTGTACAAAGGAGACTGGGATTTTCCTGCATTCAATTTTGCTAGGGAGGACACCAGCAACTGATGTACTCGACGAAGGTCATTGAGGTCACGAGCTACTCCACTGCCTATCCATGTACTGCAAACCTGTTTGCAAATTACAAATTGCATTGAAAAACATTACATAAATTATGGAGCTGAAATGATCCCTTATCCATGGAGTTTACCAAAAAAAAAGTTTTGACCTTGATCTTTGACTTGGTTCAAACACTACATCCCCATTATCAAAAGTATCCCATGGGTGAAATGTATAGTCAGGATAAGAATTTCACATAAAGATCTGCTTTAGGTAATGAGAAAAATTGAGCCAAGGGGAGAGAAAAAATGTTCCGAAAAAAGGATTTACACAGAGGCCTGTTTTGACCTTGATCTTTTATCTAGAAACTTGGATCAAAGGCACTGCACCGTTCATCCACAGGCACTTTGCAAAGTACGAGCCAAAATGGGGCATGGGAAGAGAATATATATACCCTGGACAAAGTATATCTGACAGATATAGGGACACACTGATTACTATGGTGCCCAAGGAGAGAGAGAGAGACCATTTACAAAAGGTGAAATCAATACAGAATACAAAACTACTTACATCACATGCAGCTGCTGTGACATCTGATGAAGTGTCAGGTGAAAAAGCTGGACGGAGGGCTGCACTAACCTAAAATGCAGTATCTATCTAATATGTCTTTTTCTCTTTCATTTTGAGAATTTTGAACAAATAGTATGAATATTGATTACCCATTCTTCTTGTTATTTGTTACCTGTGCCTGGAACTGCTCTAGAATCACATGACCAGGAAATTCTGGTTCTGGAACTGATGCAAACTTTGTGATGATATCCTGCCAAAGAAATTCAATTTTCAAGAATAAAATTCAGTGGAACATACAGGTATGAGCCTACACATTTCAAATCTAAACAATGTAATTTATTTATAATAATCTTCTTAAAAATGCTTTTTACCTCTTCAAAAATTGTGTAGTTACAGTAATAGTGACAATGTCCTGGTGACCATAAGGATAATCATCATATGGTATGTAAGAAACTAAGAAATTTATAGTTGCAACTCTGCTAAAACTGAACAATACCTGCAAAGCTGACAGACCAGCTAGACGAAGCTGGTTACTGTCTGATGTTGCTGCGATGAAGGCCATTCTGACAAGCTCAGAAAGATGTAAAACCAGGAAGTTTTCTGAAAACAGAACAATTCCACAGTCCTCATTTAAGCCATGAAAAGTACCAATAATCAAACCCATAAATTTTATTTGTAAACAGTAGAGACTCACCGTTACTGGTTTTCAGTTTTATTTCTCTAGCTAGTTCAAGGTCAAAGTGTGCTTGTATTCCTTCACAGGCCAGGAGAATTTTCTGTAGACACTCTGTAGCAAACACTCTAGTTGGCCACCTGTCAGTATCAAAATATTCCTTCATTAACAATCAATATTAAATAATTCTACTCCTTTCCAATTGCAAACCCTCTGAATTTCACAGATCACGAACATATTCTTATGCTTAAAACACACAGACCTTGGTGCCACAGTTGGATGGGTGACATCTGGAGCACTGGCCTTGAACTCTAATCCTGCATCTTCCTCTTCGTCGTCATCATCATCATCCTTCTCTTTGTTGTCTGGAGCACTCTCTAGTGGCCCACTGCTACTGGTGTCTTAAACAAATTAACAATAAAAGTCAGATTCTTTTCTGATGTTTGTTTCTTTCTTCAATAGATACACAATATGGTTAGCTTTCCTAAGTGTTGCTGTATACTTCCACATTATGAAAATGAAATGCTACAAATAATTTGCATACTGAATTAACTAAGAAATCTTAAATTCATAAAACTCATTGACTCTTGGGCAAGAAAACCCCAACAGAACAGTTGAATACTCACCACTGGAAGCTGACAAGACACCTTTAAGTAACTTCAGCCACCTTGTGAGGTTTTGAGTAGCCAGGGACTGAAGCAGACTGATAAGGGTGTCCTGGACATCAGAGATCAGTTTTCCATCATTCTCTGTGTCCATCATTCCAAACAGCAGACCCTCCAGGCCTGTCTCCGTGATGATGGAGTCCTCATTACTGCCATCTCCCGCCAGGGTCAAGGCCTGGTCACTGACTTCTCCTGCCTCTCTGTTCACCAGCTGACGTAGACAGCCCACGGCAGCTCGACGGAGGAGGAGGTGTGAACTAGTCAATGTAGCCTGTATTAGAACGAATAGAAGAATCAAATTCATTTACTCCAACAACCATTACTCATACATGCATTTAAACTATAAAAGGATATATATACTGCCAAAGGAAGATTAAAATTTTACTCTAAATCAACACCAACTCAAATGAACTGTGGTTGCTTGGAAAAAGTTACTTTACTGAGTTTACTATATTAAAAAAAAAAGTTGGTTTACAGCAGTCTGTAGTTGCGTTACATCAGGTTATTTTTATCACTTACACAGAGATGAGGTACCAGTGAGGTGAGGTTGACATGGCGGGGAGCAAACATATGTAGCTGCTGTAGACAAGTGATGGCTTCAGCCTGGACCAGGGAGTCAGGGTGATCCTGCATTATAGCACAGCACACCATACAGTAGAGCCTGGCTGTGGCTATAGATCCACTGTTACCTACACAGAAAAAAATAACATTAACATTTTCTTAAGTGTTTTTCAAATCAAAAATTTGAAAAGGACAAAGGTACATGTATTTATACATTCTTCTCATCCTATTTACAGTATATCTTTATAACTATTGATGTAAACTATTTCCAACATACATGTATAACATGCAATGCTCTCACAACTTGTTGCATTATGGACCATTGGAAAAGCATTACCTTGTAACTCAGGTCCCAGTGATGTGATGAGAGCAGACAGACATTTTCCTAGGCATTGATGGACGTCAACAGTGGATGGAGGGACAGACAGTAAAAGCTGTAGGACCAGGGAGAGGGTAGGCTCCACATAGCTTCTGAACATGGGGCCTCCCGAGTCAGCTATCAGTCCCAGGGCATGTAGGGCCCACACCTGTCAAAAACCAAATCAATGCATTGATTCATACGCATTTCATAACTTGCTTCTTTCTTCAACAAAGTTCTCAAAGAAAAATGTCTGAAAAGTCAGATCACTAAAGAGGCTCAATTGGTTTGATAGAAAGATTTGGTTTGAAAAAAGTGCTAATATCTAATGATTGAGATTCTTCAGCTTCTGAACAAATTTTACCTGTACAACAGGTGAGTTGGAGTCCTGGGCCAGAGCCAGTACAATACTGACACTGGTGTTAAGGTGTTGTCCTGACCCCATCCCTCCAACATATCTATGTAAACAGCCGAGGGCTAAGGAGTGGCCGGTTCTGTTGATTACATCTCGAGCTGACTTCAGGCTAAAATGGATAATATACTGTACAAGCTTATATTATCTCAAATCAATTAAAGAAAAGCGTCACAATCAATTAATCTGAGTACATGAACATTGTAAAAAGTATGTCTTATTCCAAAATTATTTTCTTCTTACTTCCTTCAATACATCCTTTTAAAACTTTACAACATTTCTCTTTGTTTAACATCACTGACAATATCTGTACCTATTAAAGCTGTACTGTGCCATGTCTGCAATGAAGCGACTGTCACCCACGACCTGTGCCATTCGACCCAGTGCTTCACCTGCTGCACAACGCAGAATAGGGTTGGTGCTGCTCAGTGCACCCTGTAAAGTTATCATATAGAGAATTTGTGATAAATCAGATCAAATTTTAAATTCAGCTGTTATTTTATCAATAAATAATAAAAAAATTCCTACCATAATAAGATTAAAGGCAGACTTCTTTACTTCATCAGGACCAAGGTTTTCTTTTGCATCTGACAGATTCTGAAAAATAAAAATCTTTATTGTGAAAATATTTCAAAATATGATACATGTACGTGTATCTCCTATGGTGGGAGAAATAGCCCAAACTTTGAAAGGAAAGAGGTGTTATAAACCAACTTTCCTTTGCAGCACTTTTTTTTCCATTTGTGAACTGAACATAAATACTTCTTCTTTAATGCCTGTATTATTATTAGTGTTTCTGTTGTTCAATAAACAAAATACATATAATATTAAGGTGATAAACATTCACAATTATTCTATCCTTTAAAATGTAAGATGTTTACAAAGGAAAGGCGATTTCCAAAACCTACTTCATTGATCAGAAACACCGTACCTTTAAACTTCATTGACCAGAAACACTGTACCTTTAAAGCACAGAGAACAGCAGTGAAGATGTTCATCTGTACAGCCTGTTGTCTAACCGACTTGGCTTGTTTGATGCATTCGATGAAATGCTGTAACATCTGAAGTCTGTGTTTGTGTGCTACTCGAGGGAAGACCAAACCGTAAAGTCGCACTGAACTGTCAATCACAGCCACACCGAGGGGGAGGGGACCAGGGATAGGATCACTCTGAATGATCAAACAAAAAAGTTCAAATATTTACTGCTTATTGGTTACAAATGACTCACTTAACCAACACTATGATTTTATTTTATACATGAAGATAGATTGGCACAAAGTTGTAGCTATATCACAAAAAATAAAGATATGAATTCAATGTGATGCTCTAAATTTTAGATATATATATACATGTATATATATATATATATAATACATATGCATATATATATATATATATATATATATATATATATATATATATATATATACACACAGAAAATTCAAATTTTCATGCAAAATGTGAACATAAGTGTACATGTTTGTAATGGTCTCTACAACATATTCACAAATTTGGGTCTGTATTTCTCTCTATTTATACTCCTACAAAATCTTTTCATGAATTAATGTTCTTATGATCACACCAAAGGTAGCAATCTAAGAATACTACAAAGTATATTCAGTGCTTTGCCCTGGCCTCAAAGTGACTTTTGAAAATTTAGGCACCAGCTGGTTCCTGGCCCAAAATATTTAGGTGCCAATTCAAATTTTTGGGAGCCAAGCCAATTCTTTTTGACGCCAACTCTATAAACTGGTTTTTAAACCTTAGGCAGAGTGCTTTTTGTAGACCTTAAAAGGGGATATGCTAATCTAGTAATCAGAAGGGAACTTGATTGTGTGACAAGTTTTCATAAGGGCACTCTTAAAAGTTTATTTAGACAGAAGGACTACTCTGCAAGCATTAAATAAACAATAGCCTGGACATTCCAAATGCATTAGAAATCAGTATTCAAACAAAATGCTTCTGGTCCCAAAATTTATTGGTTTCCAAAACAAGAAGAAAAAAAATTGCCAGTTTGAGGACATGCTGAGATTTTAGGTGTCAATTGAAAATTTTATGCACCATGGTGACTTAATTATTCACCAATTAGAGCCCTAGCTTTTTCTCTTCTTATTTCTGTAAGATATGTGTAAAACTTTTACATACTGTTGGACATCTGGCATACAAAGATTGTGAGTCATGTTCTAAGGCTCCAGACCCAGAGGCACTGTTAGGTTGCAACTAAAATAGAGAAGTATAGTACATGTATACTTAAAAAAAAACAAGACAAGTTGTTGCAATTATAGTCTAATATCTACTAAGTGCACACAATGTCAGCAACACTTTTCATTCTACCAATCATATACTGTCTTTATACTAACACTTAAGGCAGTTTCAAGCAGAAAGCAAAAAAGATGGTTTAAATAGTAAAGATCTGTGCTGAAATTTGACAGATTTACATGTATATCCAGAAAGACATAGATGAAGAATGTTGAATATTTACTCTGAATCACTATAATTTTTTTTTATATGACCTTTTTTAATACATTTAATATTATTGTCATGTTAAAAATTAAAGTTGTACATTTGCATTTAACACAAGCTTTGATGTAGGATATGCCAAAGCGTAAGGTAAAACATCACTCTTTTTTCATGCTCTTGGTTGTATGATACAGAATTTTAATTGAAACTCTGAAATAGATGCACTGAAACCCTTTGATTACAAATTTGGAATAAATGTTTAAGAATGTACACGTTTATAAAATTTGCTGCATGATTCTGAATAGGAAATGGTTAACTCCACAATATCTAAGAAATGTTAATTCATTCATTAATATTAAAATATTGAAAGAAAAGTTCTTTCAATTGTACATATATTGGGTGAATTCCTGAATTAGGATTTTATACTAGATTTTTTTTCACAATCTGCATTCCCTAATGTTAATGAATTCATGACAGCAACATTCTAAGAATGCCAAAACAGTGAAAAAGAAAAAAGCAAAGTGAGAGAAGATGCATTTTAAATATAATGGAAAAGACATTCAATTTCTTTCAAATTTAAAGATAACTGAAACATGTTAATAGATATAACATGCTTGTATCTGTACATCTTAATATATCAGTCAGTTAAAGTCAAGACAGATTTGGTTGGTCATGCCTGCATTCAAAACGCCACGATGAATCAGAATGCAGATTGTACTTACTACCTCTTTATCAACTTTACGATTGGGTTCAAACTACAAAGGGAAGGCTTGTATCAAAACTACTCCCAAATATAATTCAAGGTAAAGTTAAAAATATTTTAAATTTCAACTAATTTTGGATTTCATCATTTCTAGAAATGAGTTATCACAATTGTGTGTGATGCAATTAATTGATCTTAAACTTCTAAAGAAAAATATATAATTTAAAAAATGAACATGAAAACTGATTTTTATTCATGCTTTATGAATACAAATGGTTGCTAATAAGTATCATCTGAGCACAAGACAAATCATGATATTGCTTGGGCACAAGCACATTTCCAAGCGGGAAGTTACAATAAATACCTGATCTTCAATAGCTTTGTGGTCTGTCTCCTGAAGCCAGGATCCCAGAATGACACTGTCATCCACATGACACATGGCCCTCAATAAGGAGGTTGTGGTGTTGGCTGGGTTGTCTGTCAGTGTAAACTCTGCAACCAGCTCTCTCAACAAGTCAGTGTAAGTTCCTAGAAGTGATAAATTTTCAATTAAAAACAAAATTATATGCAACACACACTTCTACAGAATTCATTACACATGTGATAAATGAGTGGATGCAGGTGTCTACTACCTTCAAATGATTCTGGAGGGAGTTGGGACAGAACATCATACAATCTTAGTCTAACCATAGCAGCACTGGCTTTCAGGTGTGTACCATACTGCTTAATCACCCAGGGCAATCTGAAATTGTGTGAAAAAACATTTTTTTATAGCATTTTTAAAGATCATGCATGGATAAACAATTCTATGTAGATGAGCTGAAATGTTATGCACCAATATTGAATAATCCATTCAAACTTACTGTGCAAACATAAGAAGAGCACATTTGAGTGGAGCCAGCAGGCGACGGATGACATCTTCTGTCACAAGGTCACGACAGTGCTGCAGAAAACTATTCATGGCTGAAAGGTCAATCAGCAAAAATTATGATGAAATAAATGGCAACAATTAAGAAAAAAATCATATTTTAGAGCTTACTCTTGCAGACAAAATAAAATACTACCATCTGAGTTTTTTTTTTTTTTTTTTCCGGGGGGGGGGGGGGGGGGGTCTTTTAAATTGCATGTAATATATATAAAAGAATAACAAGTTATCAGCTTGTTATTAAAAATTCAATGATTAACACCTAGTTAGAAGCTATTAAAATGGTAAGATAATGTTCACAGTTCAGTGATCTCCATGTACCTCCTAAAGCCCCTGATCGTGCCTCTAGTGTCACCTGCCAGGTGAAGGAATCCCCTCTCTGTTTCTCGGCTTCCAACTCTTTGTGAGATCTTGGGAAAGCATTTTTCCACAGCAATAGCATTCTGGGTAAGTGATTCTTCACCACAGCTGGACCTGATACAGAAATCAAAATAAAAAAAAGACTGGTCAGACTGTTTTGGATTATTGTGAGTGCTTTTTCTAATTTGCCATGAGTAGAAAAGCTGAGATTCTGTAGCCAAGATTCTGTAAAGACTTGTGTATAAATTACCTAATGTCATAAGAGATCCTAAGAGAAGCCAGCCAGACTGGGTCCTCTGTAAAGACAAGCGGCTGTTCTGGGATGCTGTTCTTAACAATTCTTCTGATAGATTGAATAGTTGCTAAATAGAAAAAAATACAATTTTAAGGATTAAACATTTTATAACATTTCCTGCAAAGTTTTGTACTTTCAGCTTTTTTAATATAATCAAAAGGTTTATACAGGTAAACTTTGATATCTCAACATTGGATATGTCGACAACATGGAATATGATGACTTCCCTTTGTGGCCCTGGCAGTATTTACTATATATATATATGATTTGCAAAAACTCGCATTTCCTATCCTGTTCTGATAAAAAGCAAATGTTACACAGGAATGCCGAACTGAAAGCATTCAGTAAATTTAGAAAGCTTATGATATGGAGAAAGAACACAATTTATCAATAAGATATTTTTTTAATTACTTCTCAGATTTTTTTTAACAAAGAAATAGAGGAATTGCTGAAAATAAGATGAATTACTGACTATTCATGTACATAATAAACTATGCAATGCAGAAATCTTGGACTTTGAATCTCAACTTTGATATCTCAACACCCCAGATATCTTGATATTTTTCCGATAGTCCTGCCAATGTCAAGATACTGAAGTTTACCTGTATCTGGCTGATGACCAGATTACTTACCTTGCCTTTGGCATGAGGAATACCCAGAGGACACTGATACACTCCTCCAAGGAGGGCAGCCAGGGCACTGCTGTACCCAGACACTGCCTCTGGGGAGGTCTTGAGTTTGTCCATCCTCTCTACACACCTGTCAAGTAGAGGAGTCAGTTGGGAGGGTAGGGCCCTGGAAATGCTCCCTAAGCACCATGAGGCAGACAGCCGAGCAGCATGGCTTGGGTGAATCAACACTGATACTACTGGTTCTATGATACCTAAATATGAAATAAAACATTTTCTAATAGCTTTGATGTATGAATGACATGTCTCCTCCAATCAATACATGAAATGCAGAGCATTTTATAAATTGCTCTTTGTCTAGTTCTGTGAAACTTGTCTAATCTGGATGTTGTGTATTCCAAATCTTGCCTAGTATGATGTAACATTTAAGTTTATTTCAGTAAATCAATTGTTTAAAATGTTGTCTAATCCGGAAAGTTGTCTTATATGCCCAATTTCTTTGGAATCAGTGGTGTTAAGATTAGACAAGTTTTACTGTATATTGTATATACAATACATGTATATTATATATACCTGTGGCTGGTTCAGCTACTAATGGACTGGCCGAGGTCCCCAGTCTTAACACAAGACTGCCTAGTTCATGTAAAGCACACACCAAAACATGCTGGCTACCTGCTATATCAGCACTGGAGGATCTTCCATCAGAATCCACTGTAGCTTCACCTACAACAAGTACATGAGTTATTAAAGAAGACACGACATATTTTACAACCATCAAGCCTAACACTCTAAATATTTCAGAGAGAATACTTTTTATTACAACCAGTGATAGTTCATTTTTTTTTATGGAAAAAAGTAAACAATAATTTTGCATTTTCAACATAAAACAATAATTTACTATCTTGAAAAATATTTTGTAAGCTTAATCATGCACATGGATGCCAAGAAAAGCATATTTTTACATCTATATTATGTAATGATTCAACTGTGCTCTCTTTCTTCCTAAAATTTATCAAGAAATCAAGATATTTCCCTCATGATATATTATCACATATTGGAAGAAATTACATCACACGAACCACAGGAAATATGATATCAAAATAACATTCATATTTCGTCCACAAACATCCCACATTTTACAACAATATCTGTACATATATATAACCCACCTACAATATTCATCTGCTTGACAATGATTTGTGATATCTCCTTGGCTGCTGCTATTTGAGCTTTTTCTCCTAATAAACCTCCAATGGCTGATCTTATGATGAACAGCACACACTTCCTGGCATACACGGCATCCACATGGGTAGGCGTCGCCTTTGGGTTGGCCACTAGCTCAAAGATGTGGTTCAGAAACACAGAAATATTTCTCTCCAGCCACAGACCACCCATGGACTTCACAAACTCTATATATGCCTACAAAATGTGCTTCAAATTCTTCACATTTTGAAATTTACATATAAATTACACTACATAAGAGCTAGATAGATAACTTGTATATTTAAAGAATCAAATAAAAAAAAAAAATAAATGGTATTTCAAGTATTCGCATTCACTCAAAGAACTGCAGTTATGTTCATACAAAAATTGACAATTTTAAGTCTGTCTGAGATATTCTGCTTTATACTTTAACAACACAACTATTCCATGCTGATTTTATTATTTACATTATTTCTGTCATTCTGTTTTGGTCTGACTTACATGTGTGACTCCCACTCTAATTTCTCTATTGATATTTCCACTCCCTATCCCTCCTTTCAAAAAGCCAACAGACAACAGATTCAACACATCTTCAAGTTTGGGTTGCTTCCATTTAGCTGTCAAGAAACAAAAATCTTTGTTTAGGCAACAGACATGAAGAAAAAATTCAAAGATACTTCATTATCTCATAATCTATACTGACTCTGTAACTTCTCTTTTATATAATTTTTATCTCTTCCTGGTCCATTGGCAGCCGAAGCTTCATGCAATGCTTCATATATCTCACTTCCTCTATATATTGTTAAATCTCATCTTGAACTCATACAGATAAACTTAGGGTGATAATTTTTCCTTTCAAATAATGAAGTAAAGTGATAAGGATGAAGTAGAATTTCATTTATAATGTATATTTATTCAAGAAATTATACTTCTATCAAAATTATCAGCTTCTATAGGTTTATATTACATTTCATGATAAGATACCAAGTTTCACTTCCAAAATATTTCTTTTATCTCTCACCACCCCACCATTAACTAGACAGCTCCATTTCCGCATTCGTCCACCACATTGCTACATCCCCTGCCTCAGAGGACGGGGGATCTATGATATCATTATCAGTGAACATACAGAGAAGTACCACTTGTTCGTTATACATAAAACATTTCAGGTTCCTAATCACTTCTGTGATAAATATCAATATTTAACAAGAGATATACTTAAAAGAAGAATCTAACAGGCCCTAATCAACAGAAGGTTATCTGGATCCTGCTGTTATCAAAATATATCAGCTGTGTTAGAATTAAGATACTGCAACAAAGTGGTTTACTTACTTAATACCTACAATAAATATCACCTTCTCAAATTACAATAATAGGTGTTCTTTCTTTATAGTTCTGTACAGCTTCTGAACCAAACAGATTTTAAAAGTGGTAAATGTCAAGATATTTTATTTTGAATAGGTTTTTGAATTTAGGCTCTAGTTTGACCAAAAAACAAATAAAAAAGAAGGAAAGAATATAAATATGGGTAGCAGATAAAATTATATCATTAACTTTTTCAACAATATATTTCCTGAATAGTGAAAGGATGAAAGGTAATACACATGTACTACAATAATATACTAAGCATAAAAGAGCAAATTTCTTATATACATGTATAAGCCCCATAAATACCAAGCTATTATTAATTTACAGTGTATTAGTAGTTAAAATACCTCCAAAACTCAGTCTAGAAAAACTGCCTAAAACAGAAGAGATAATTAGCTTTTAACCAAGCTTACATGGTCTAGATTCTACAGTGGTGCAGGAAGGACATCTTTTATTGCACTACAAGTGCACTTAAAAATGTACTTTCAAGAACACCTGTGAACAATCAGAGAGGAAATATGATGCATGAGAAAGATCATTAAAGTTGAATCTCAGCCTTCATTTAACCATCAGTGTAATAATCTACCACAAGATTCTGACAAGCATATGGAAGGTGCATGACACAAATATTAGTAAATCAATTTTCAATTACTTTCTTGGTCAATGAACCTAGTGTAACAGCACACTAAATATGATTGAAAAATGACATCTAATAGCACATATTCTATTGATTGTCTATTAAATCACACTTAACGAGTTTCTGTAATGAACTTTACCTGTGCTGGCTGCCTTAGGACTCTGGGTCATTGACATAAGATTTCCCAGAAGTTTCGCCACAGCACACCTGACATCATAATTAGAGCCATCTAAGGCTCGAAAACAAAGGGAGCTAACTGTCTCCAACTCACTCGTGTACATGAAAGGAGCCTCATTCACCAGTTGTAGCATGCACTGAAATAAGTGTTAAAATTTGTTAAGCTTGAATTTTTATTAACGAGTCCTTTAAACTTCATGTTTTACTCATATCTGCTATTGTCAGTAAATCAACATAAAGGTCACAAATATATATAATTTAATTCTGGTTATAACGCAGTATTCGATTGGATAAGAAAATTAATTTATATGGTTTAAACGGTGTTGCCTACGTTACAATGACTTGCATCAATAACGTATCGATCCGCCTGACATTACATTTAAAATTTGTACAATCTGAAGTCTTTTTTCAAGGGTAATCATCTTATTTTTCATACACAAATTGATTGAAAATTAAATAATAAGGAATGAATTTAATAGCTACCCAATTTATACAGCAAAAATGGGTTGGAATAGTTTATGCTTTTTTATAAACTGCTTCGCAGTTTACAAAATGTAAACTGCCCCACCCAGTTTACACCGTATAAATTGGGTAGCTATTAAATTCATTCCTTAAATATACAGTCAAACCTTGTTATCTCGAACTCAATCGGACTGATCAGAAAAAACATCGAGATATCCGAGGTTTTGAGATATCTGGAGTAAAATACTTAAAGAATAAGAGGTTGGGACTTCTAAATCACTTTGACAAATATATCCATGGTATTCGAGATATCAGTGTTCAAGATACTGAAGTTCAACTGTATATAGATATATCTGACACAATGTATCATTAAATGCTACCCAACCCACTGACCCCATCTCCCCTTTAACTCTTGTCTACAGCTCGACCCTTCCTCCACTGCTGGTCTTTGTTGATCATTAAAATGGTTTTAAAATTTTACAAACGGAGACTTCATATGTATTGATGGAAGTTAGAATGCCATTATTTTACTTCCATCTACTAATGGAAAATTTATAACAGAATATCTTGATATTTCTTCTATAAAGTAAAGGTATTACACACTGCTCCCTAATGATGAACCTTATATAATTCTACTAATAATTCTAAATGAACCTTTGTATCAAATTACAATTGCTAATTTGATAATTTTTCCTTGATATAGGTAATGCACACCACTGTGTAATATATATAAAGCCTAAAGTGATGGCTGTGTAATTGTAAAAGTATGTTGCAAATAAGGGAAAATAAGTTATTCACCATGTTCTTGGGGTCCTTAGCCACTATTCTGACAGAAGAACAAGCAACTTGCTGATTCATCTATCATAAATATGAAACCTAATCAAAACAACTACAGTTAAAATAGAACCTGTGAGAAACTTTGACCCCCCAATTTTTTTTTTCTCAAGTGAATAAAGATGATTATCTCTGAAAACCATCGCTGTTCTTTATCTTCAGATTTTACATACAAGTGACATGAACAGTTGTGAATTTACATTAACATGTGTTTCCAATTTAACACAAGGGAGAGAGAAAAAAGGAAAATTGGACATCCAGACTTGAATAATCGCTGAAATATGCATGTAGAAATATTTATTAAATAACCACTTGGTTTGAGTTTTCTTCATCTCTAGACTCATTTACTAAGCGACTTTCTTCCCAGAGAGCTTGAAGTAATTAAGTACATGCATGCAGCCATGAATCATAAGAAAAATCCCCCAAATAATCCCCAGCTTTGTCTTTCTCACATCCTACACTGAAAACAACTAGTACTGTCTTCATCAATCTTATCTTACTCACAAACTATGTCATTCCTAATGAATAAACATCATAGAAAGTGTAGCTTGTATACTTTTTAGCATCTCTGCATTAATATTTCTGCAGAAAGTACAATAGGGTATGTATGAAAATTTACTTTAGTTCATCATACAAGAGCAGAAAATTGAAGCGGAAATTTTCATAACAGGAGCCTCTACTAAAAGTGCACACTGTATTGCCTGTCCAATTTCTGAAGCAGATGAAAGGGAAAAAGATTCTTCACATCTTGACCTTAAATCAAGATCGAAAAGAATGGAAGAGAGGAAAACAAATGGAAGAGAAGTTATTCATAACAGCATACAACAAATCACCAGGTCTATAAACACTGACATATCATAAATAGTTATTGACAAGAATTTTCATCAGTTTGCATGCTTATAAAAATTTCTTCTTTATTCCCCATTTTATTAAAAAACAAGTTACCTTGGCTGCAGCAAATCTGACCACCATGGACCTGTCTGTCATACACTGTTTCGTGGCCTTGTACACATCCTTATATGTACTATTACCTGCCGACCCCAATCCCTTTATCACCTTCTCTAATGTTGACATAATCTCACTACGACCTTGAGACTAAAAAAAAGGTTAAAGGTCAATTCATGGATATATTTATGCAACAAAAAGAAATCTATCAAAATTAGATCTCTCTTTAACATGTTTAAATGATTTTCTTTTTAATTATATCATTCGTTTTCTTGGTTATATCACCTGAACATCATAATTTGTATTGCTATCAGAACCACTTGATTTTGTTTTAAACTACTATATCTAAAATTCTAAATGAATTGATATACCTACAATAATTGCTTCAAGAAAAAAAAAACATGATTCAAGTACATAGTGATTTTAAAATTGTAACATTACTAAGTACAAGGACATTGAAAATGATAAATGTACTTTCCACAATGTTGAATACAATAAAAATATTAATATAGAGATACTTTATTTTTTTCTGGGCTATGTCCAATTTAATTTTTTGCAGCACTTTTGTGTATGATAGACAATAAAGTTGTCTATGTCTTTGTGTGTGATCTGCTGAGTTATTGTTTGAAATGCGCAGGATCTGTTTTGTTTCCTAGTTGATTGATGGAGGATATAAACCATTCTCCAGACTCCTAACAAACTCACACCTGGCAACTGGCCCAGTAACCACGACAACATGGAAGATCACATGATCTACATGGCAGCTTGTCAGGGGGGCAATGAAACTAACACAAAAAAAGGTGCAGTACTGCACACAATTCATAAGCATCATTTACAGTTAATTAGCCAATTGTTTTCTTCCTCATTGACTTATACACAGAAGTGATGATTGCTTCCCTGGGTTGAGGAACCAAGGGAATTCTCATTAAACATGTTAAAGAATTGCCTTCAACAATATCAATTCACCTAGTTTGAATGAACTAGAAAATTTCTTTTATTAGATCTCTAATCACAACTGTGCAGTTTTGTCTGGGAATTTAACCTTCAATTTTAATTACTGTATTCTTTTTTAACTGCAGCACCTGCTTTGGGCAAAGGTTCAATGCACCAGGCAAATACCATGAATACATATAACTAAGCTATAGGGAATGAACAAGAAATTCCCATTAAACCTATCTGAAAGTAACATTCTTCCAAAATGTTAATACTTCACTTATTTTTCAATACTTTGCACTTGTTATCTTTAATTTAGTTGGGTTTATTGAAATTCTATGATCAGCAGTATGCTTGATAAACCAGTAAACTACCCCTCCCTCAGCACCTACAAGCCTCTAAGAATTTTCCTTCATCCTTTTCAACTACTTACCAATCAAAACATTCATTGAATAAGTTTGGCTGTCTTATTAACAACATGCCTTCCATTCAGTGTCAATAAAACCCCCAGATTTCTTTCTCTGAAAATAGCTAACATGCACCAAGAATTATGCAGCCACAAAAATCTCTATCTTATCCAGAAGGAATGCCTCTGAATAGACGAATACTAGTTTTTTTTTTATTATACAAGTTTAAACAGTATAGAAAGTTTAAGATAAACTTTCATGCAGGAATGTAACTTTTCTCATTTCGGATCCATCCCTACCCCTTGGCATCACATCAAATACATTACATAAGACAGTTTATAAAAAGCCAGATGCAGCCAGATCAGAAGGAAAACTCCCTAAAACTCATCATCGTGATCATATCAACATCCTTTTGGTACTATAAGTTGCAAGTAGAACCATATGCTAAAAGATGTCACAGGTTAATGAGCCTATGTTATTGTCATATTAAAATATTTCACATAAGGAACTGTTCAAAGCATCAATCTGACAAGATTATCTAATTTTGTTACTAGCAATAAGTAAAGTCTCATTTTTGCATCCATGTGGGTTCTTTTATCAATTCACTTATTGCAGACAGCAATTACTTGTTGGTATAGACTGTTATCTTAATTTGGTTAATGAGCCACGGTATAATATATTACTCCTATCCAAACTACTTCATTATATAGCTGTATAAAGTACAAAAACAGTGTACTTTATTCCTACTTGTTTGACAGCTGTCAATTTGTACCATGCATTGGTATTGCAAAACATTTCTCACTCAGTTTTCAAAACAGATTTTCATAAAAATCAACATCTATAATTATATACATATTATATGCCAGGCACCTGCTTTTTGCAATTTTTATTTTTTTATCCCTAGACTCTATCTTTTCTTTGTCTATTAATACATCAATAATAATTTTCTACTTATATAAGCGTGAACATTCTTTTAATTTTCAAAGAAATTAAGACTTCTCTTTCTGTAAAGTTTTATCATTTTAATGGTGCTGAAATGTAACTAAAACTCAACAACATCACAATTTATTTGAACATGGTTTTTTTTTTTTTTTTTTTTTTTTTGGACAATGGATATATTTAAAATAACAAAATCTTATTGCCTCTTTAACAAGTACTTGACACTAAGCCTACCTCTGCATTTTTCAGTGATTTGATCAAGGTTTGGACTGTCTCTTCATATGACCTCCCTGTCATTCTTCCAAGTTTTTCATACATGGCACCCAAGCAAGCAATAGCTGCCCTAGAAATGAAAAAAAATATATATATATTTTAAAAAAAATTATAACACAAAATTTTCAAACTGACACTTTACAACAATAAACATCTTTCCTTTGACCTTATATTATAATTTCTTTTTTTTTTCAATTTTTCCTAAGAATATAATATATTTGAAATACATGAAGAAGTGATGTCTCCCGTTAAACATACACAAATATTTCAGTACTTACAACTTTGTAGGAAGGTAGCTTGGAGAATCATCTCGATTTTTGATGACATCATTGCATTTATTTAATGTTTCAAACAAGTCAAATGTGTCTCCAACACTGAATATTGTAGCAAGGTTCCGGGCCAGAAGTTTTCTAGTTGGTGGACCAGGAGACTCACTGATTTGAGAGGTTAGCTGTGCTACCAATTGTTTCTGTTTTTCTTTAATATCAGACTGAAAAGGAATTTTTTTAAAGGAACATTTCACTATAAGAGTCAAAATTCTTGAAATATTATTTAAAAAAATCTTTTTTTTTTTTTTTGTTGTTGCTTACTTAAGTTTAGTTTTAAAATGTACAATTTGACTTCAGCTAAAAATTAAGTAGTTATGCATACTGCATTCTTTCAGTCATTGAAATCTTCATTTCTTAAATTTAATCATTTGCACCAATGTATTACAGGAATCTTTTCAGCTTTATATATAATATTTTAGTGTCCTATTTTCATTTTCAATGTCCATGCATGTTTATTACAAATAATTCAATATGTAATCACCTTCTGGGCAGCTACAAGCACCTTGTCCAAAAATCTAAGCCATTCAAACACAAACACAGGCTTCTTGTTGTCTGGAATCTTAGACAATGCTTCTTCATTTAACAGAAGGGAATGTGCCAATTCCATGTTTTCTTACAACTGAAGGGAAAGAAAGAGAATGAAATGGCCACAACCAAAAGTTCAAGTAGACATATCAATCCTGTATAAATGGCATAACTATAACTGACTTATATAGACACGTATACCAACATAAACAGGGGTTATGTACATCAACAAAGCAACATATATATATATATATATATCTTTAATCTCTACCTTCATTTTTAGGAAAGATGCCTACAAATATATGGAAAAAATTAACTGCAACAACGGTGATTAAAAAATAGTAAATAAATCAGGGCTCGACAATAACTTTTTTCTCTATTTGTCCATTCGGACAAGTGACCAAGACATTTACTTGTCCAAACTTCAACTTCACTTGTCCGAAAATATTTCAAGAAAGATCTAATCCTTTCAACTAAAAAACTAAAATAAAGTCCATGACATGTGCGTGATGTAATTTATAAATACAACAAACACACAAATCAAAATTTTATATAGACTCTCTGTCCTGACAACATAAATGCTGTCAACATAAAACAGAATCCGAACTTCGTAAGTTCCATGCCTTTGCAGTAGTATGCAATTAGTGAACATCGATCCCGATCGAGTATCAACTCTATTACATAGCAATCCATATCGGGATCGAAGTTTGGTTTTTATGTACTGTTTCCGTCTTTAAAGCAGCGGTAAACTAAATACTCAACAGTTGTTCTTTTTATTATTTGGAGACTTCTTCACATTAAAATGCACTTGTCCTATCGGACAAGTGTCCAGCAATATTCACTTGTCCGTAATTTTTTTTCACTGGTACCGGACAAGCGGACAAGCGTTAATGTCGAGCCCTGTAAATAAATAAATCTTGGCTCCTTGGGCAATAATTAAATGAATTAAATGTATAATATCTGAATAGAATGTGTTCACTGTTCAGGGATTTATCAATGTTGTTTTAACAACCGGTAAACGGAACCTTTCCCTTTTGGGAAAAAATGTCAAAATTCCCCTTATAATGACAGCAAATTTCCTGATTTAACATACATGCAACATCTGAAATACATAATATGTTTTATTTATGATAGTTCTAGAACTGATCCCTCAGATTAGCTCTCAAAACGCAGATTATTGCCACATTTATTTGAAAATGTCCCAGGGCCCCTAAACTCTTATTGTGTATTCAAACCTCTAGCACTAATGTCAACCAATCGTTCTCATTTTTCCTCTTTAAGTGAAAACGGTAGCCAAATAAATAAAATAGCTTGATAAATGCCTGCTGTTAAGCTTAATAAAGATATTTAAGTTAAAAAGTTGATATATATGTGCATTTATTTTTAAACATGGGAAGTACTTAAAAAATCCTCTTGGAAGCAATCCCACTGACAATAAAATTTTAATAACCCTGAATAGAATGTTCTTAATGACTTCCATCATTTTTATCCCTCCATGCATCAGAAATCAGAACAGATCCCACCCTCCTCCCACCGGCATTTCCGTATTCCTATCAATACGTAAGTATATTCCCCCTTTTTAAATATTCTCAGCAGATTCTTTAAAAATGAGCTCTGCTTAGGGTTGTGGGTAAACAAGTCTGAAAGGATTCAGGGTTGCGGTTTACGAGATCGCGAGACATGGTGTCACATTTCCAAATACATTTACACAAAATAAGATCATGGTCTAGGAATTCAAATTAAAAATATTTCTCCTACCAATTTTCCATATAGATGTCACCGATCTATTATTCCAATAGTTACCTCACATATAAGTTAAAAATACTGTGAAATTTTACATCCAAATCATTATAAAACATATCACAACGATGCTTGTCAAATATAACTAGTTCCCTACGACCAAAAATATTATTAGATGGACGCACATGCGCATTAACCTCGTGACGCAATAAAATAAAATGAACTCGTTCTTCATATGTTTCGTGTCTTTATCAGTTGAAATTCATTCTAAAATGAATAATGACGGAGAGTTACTCAGAGTTTCTGGATAATTTGAATTTAACAAGGAAGCTACAATATAAACTTGTTTTTAAGGTCATGATATTTATTTATATGAATCCTTTTTTTACTTTATATGAACCCTTTTTATTTTCTATGTTCTAGATTTTTTTAATTCACTCCCTAAGGTTAAAAAAAGTTAGGATACGCGTAGCTAAAATGATAAAATGTACCTTATTCTCCGGGAGCTAGATTTATAATTATATTCGTTTTATTTTTAAGGGGAGGGGGTGTGTATAATTTAAAAAATAAATAAATAATCAGGAGACATAAATTATAATTTTATGTTTATGATAGATGTATTGATGTACGTCTCCGTTAATAACTATTCCCCGCATTCCTTCATGGGATATGTTAATGTACTTCATGACTGTGTCGTTACGATTCAATACACTTTTGGTGCATGTTTAAGGATATACGCAACGTAGTTTTGAATTTTATTTATTTTTTTTAAATTTTCTGTAATTGAAAAGTTCCAATAAATATGCGACTCTTCTGATGCTGTACACCTCCTCTAAAACAAATTTTGAGAAAATGTCAGCAAAAAATATATATTTAGTTGTTTTTGTACATTTTAACCAAGAATTTTTATCATTTGAAATCTCTTCAAAACCCTGGTAATGTAAGCTTAATTCTTTTTTTTTTTGTTTTGTTTTGTTTTGTTTTGTTTTTTTTTTGTCCAAGAACATCTGATGGTATTTGAATATTATATCCTGAAAAATAACCGAAAGATTACGATGTTACCGGCACGTAGCCCCCCCCCCCCCTCTCTATCCAACAAACATATCTTTTACTGTTGAAAATGTTCATTGAAAGGCTGGTTGCCCCCCACCCCCACTTTTCAATAATACCGGATTTTTTTTTAAAGCACAAATGAGATAATGTGGGCGGATAAGCTGGAAAATTTCAATTACTTGTTGAATATTATATTAACTTTCAAACTACATGAACAAAGAATTCATTACGATTTAGAAGCCTCCTACTAAAGCAATAGCTTTGCTTACAATCAAATTTGAAATAAAATGAATTAAAATGAAAATTTTGGATCTAGTATTCAACGTAGTTCAAGTTCCTTGACCTGCTCACATTTTGTTCTATAAATTAAAACATTACAAATAGTTTCTTCACGCTTTGCCTTTATCATGTTTATATCATGCCAAGAAATCCCGTCCATTTTTCCACAGCGATGGAGTCAATAAAAGTGCAATTGATGCAAATCATCCATATTCCCCTAACGCTGGCGAGACAATTTACGGCAGCAGATTTGAGGGGGTGGATTCTAAGTTTTCCGTTTTCTTAGTAAAATAAAAATAAACTTCTACCCCAGGAAGTGGCATCCTATGCCCTGAAAAAAGTAGTTCCTGTCAAAAACCTTTATTTATTTACAAAATATGTAAAATGCACTAGACACAGGTACCAAAATTGTAAAAATAGATTGGAAGGAAATAAAAAAAAAATTCAAAAGAAAAAAAAATAATAATTTTAATAATATAATAATAATTTATATGTATGGAACTACAATTGAATAAGTTCATATTCATTGGTCAATTACCGGTATAATACTTTAATAAGGCGCGTGACTTCCACAACAACCAAGTTCATCGTGCCCGATGTTAATTTATACTAGGAAAAAAAATATTTTGATATGGAAACACTGAAAAATTTGAAAGGCGTCTAATTTTTACTGAACAATTAATTAGTTTACTATAATTTATTTCACTTTCTTCTATTTTACTTTTTTAACCGCATATGATTTGCATGGACCCCCCCCCCTCCAAAAACAAAAAAAAAAAAAAAAACAACAAACAAAAACAACAAACAAACAAAAAAACGGGAAAATAGGTGCAAAGGCTTCTGAATAATAAGTATTCTAGCTTTAATTTAAAACCAGTAAAACTTAGGATCCTTCCCTCAAAACTGCTGACATTAATTGCCTTGCGCACATCTCCCTCGGGAAAAATCACAGATTAACGCTAATTCCGCTGTTATTGAGTTTGCTCTGAAACTAGAATGCGTACTTTTTCTTGGCATGAAAACATACTTGGTCAATATTTATTATTTGGCAAAAGAGTGGGGGAAAAATATAAACTTTCGTGTTTGACTAATGTGTGAATATTTTGAGACTCAAACAAAGCGCCGAAGGACTTAAGAACAATCAAAGACGCTTTACAATACTGCTCAGCAATACTTGTTTAGTGAGATAAGCTCACACTAGATCCTTTACACAAGCGGCATTACCGTTATTTACTCTGACTTTAATACATGGTCACTTGTGAATGTCTCTCTAACCTCTTATATATAGTATACAAGCCTGTTATTCGTTAGCATTGCTTAAACATTTACATAATATAAAGCGGAAAGCAAAGATCGTTTTGTCTACGTTGTTCAAAGGGACATAATTTGAGTTATCGAACTTTGTAACAAAACTTATATTATGCAAATTTCCAAATAAACATTCAATCACAAGGAAAAATTGTATATAAAAGCTGTCTTTGGAGGGTGGATGGTGGGGGAATATTTCTAATACATTGACAAGTAAAATGATTGTGCTTATTTAAATACAAGTAGAATTGCACCATACTGCACCATACTGCACTCTGCTGCAATACAATGCGACACATTGTGATGCCTGTCAAAGAGTCCAATCAAGATAAAACTGCACCATACTGCACTCTGCTGCAATACAATGCGACACATTGTGATGCCTGTCAAAGAGTCCAATCAAGATAAAACTTAGTCAATTTTTTTTATTAATTGAATTTTTAAAAAAAATGATTGAATGCACACTTTTTTCATTTTATGTTTTGAAAAAAAATTTACAGACTAGAGAGCATTTCTTTTATTCTCATATTCTTAAATATTTGTTCTCTTTAATATGAATCAAAAATTAACAATCAGTAATTAAATCGAAGGGCTTTCTTAAAGTTACGTGTTGCTGTTTTTTTTTTTTTTTTTTTTTTTTTTGAAATCGAATAACTAGTTTTTGTATGCGCGAAACATCCAGAAGAAATGAACACTCCTTTTTGACTAATGAGTGGATTTTTTTGTTTGCAAGAGAAGTTATACTGTTTACCATTATAATAATTTAACTGCATTTTATTGCACTGCACTACAATGCAATGTCAATCAATGATTTGTTACATGATGTTATTGAAAATAAGGTTGAAATTAAAGTATTTTCTAATACAGTTTTCATTTTAAAAACGTTTTGAAAAACAGACTGGATGGAATATTTTCATTCACATTTTCTTATATGGTTATTCTCTTTCTTCTGAATCTAAATTATCAATGCAGTAATAATGTCGAAGGATTTTTCGACAAATTTCTTCATTGCTGAATATTTTTTTTATCAAACGGCTAGTTTGGGTATATGAAAGATTGAAAAACAGAAAAATCTCGTGTTTGACTGATAAGTGTAAATTTTGAGAGTGATGCAGATAAGCACCAGGAAGGATAAACGGAATTTATTCTGATAATAGTAGTTAGAGCTGAGTTCTCATCAAAGAACAGTTACTTTTGCTGATTTTTTTTTTTTATCGAAAGACTGATTTAGATATATGCGAAACATCCCGAGGAAAATTTGAGTGTCGAGTGAAGTTTAATTTATTTCATTTTTGTGATCGATGGTTTTGTTATTTGTTTCATGACTTTTTCTGTAATGTTTAACCTGTTTGAATATTTTTTTCCATAGGGTCATACCCTTTTGATTAAATTTCACTTTCTCTCCCCCCTCCAACTCCCCAATCCGCTAGCGAATATGGTGGTTTTTATCATATTATTCAAAACATCACAAGTCTACGTATCAAATTTTTACCTTACACATTATGCATTATGTTTAAGGAAATGTTTATCATGCCAAATGAGTGGTTCCGGAAAAAATACTGCACCCGTAAACCATCTCTAGTTGGTGTGTTTCGTGGCCACTTCGTATTTCCTGTATGAAAAAGTAAAGGAGAAAAATGTCAACATCCAGCTGTTCGTGTAACACTTGAGCCAGTAATTAAAATACAGGTTTGGAAAACAAATAATGTTAAGTTTTTAGCTTTATTTAGCTACTTCAGGTAGCTTAATTTAGCTATTTCAACGCAACTTTTCACAATTTTGCTTTTTATTTAAAGAAGAGAAAAAGTCGCAAGTAAATGTCTATACTAATATTTATATTAGGGATTATCTTAAAAAAAAACAATCCAAAGTAGAGATAGTTTAAATATTGCTGCATTTGAACACTTTTAAGCAAAAGATGTATTTCTATTGTTTGAGTAACTGTCCATCACCTTGTGTGCGGTGAGGCATGGATAAGTATGATAACTTCACATTGTGCTGAATAGTTACCAATCTATTATCATGTTAACCAAAACTGGTCTTCTTTGTTATTCCATTCAAGAAGTAACTGTTTGCTCACAAATTAATTGTTGTGTATAGCCCCAAAACCTTTAGAACTTTGACTGCAATTGCGCAGAAAAAGACATATTTTCAAGAGTGATTTTTTCATGAATTGTTTCGAGTTTTAAGCTGAAAATGCTCACTGCATTAAAGTGTTCTTTTCTGCATATCCCAAGAAAAATGCTTATTTAAGAAATAAGTTTGATTTGGTAGCTAAATAAAGCTACTTTAGGTAGGTAAATAAAGCTATATAGGTAATTCAAGCTACGTAGCAAAATCTAGTGATTGTACCAGACCTGGTGACAGCTGACAGAAGTACAAAATTGAAAACAATTTGGAGCCTTGTTTTCATTTAAATAGACGGCTTTCATATTTACAAAAGTTATTTCCCTATGCCAGGTCAATCTGGAATCAATCGGCACAAACCACTGTTTTTCCTTTATAATGACACCAACTTGATGGGGCAGTGTCTAACAAATTGAATTTGTATGCACATGTTCATTATGTTTTCTTTCATGCCCCATAACATGGCAATAAAGGAACAGTTCAAAATATTCTTTAAGTGTTTGAAGGTTTTTAAATATTAACAGATAAATTACAAAGGATATAGCGAGAAAAATGAGCATTACACTGACAAAGAGAAATAACTCTTAAGAATGTGAAAGTCATCTATTAACGATTAAAAATAGTTTCAATACAAAAGACTGAAATTTGAAATCAGTGCAACTGTTTTTTTAAGAAGTTTATTGAGCGACTTGAAGCATCACTTGCACTGCAAGCTCTTAAAGAAACACCTGTGTGAAGAGAAAATTCGGACTATGCACATTGATCTCAATAAATTTTTTTCTGTAGTATTAAATTTTAGTTTCCACAAATGTGGTGATCCTCCATAAACTGCATATGGTTCCCCAATTTAAGCTAACAATTGTTCACAATCAAAAAAGAAATTCAACCTTAGTTTACTGGAAATTACAGATAGATAATAGATTTAAATGCTTTTGAAAATTTGTACTTTTTACACCCTGTTATGAAAATGCAACTAACATACAAATGATATGAAATCACAGTCTAGACTGAGTGAGTCGACCAATTGTCTCCTTCCAAACTTTGAAGATGTGGATCTAATTTAAAAGTACAGATAAAGGTTTCTGATGATATTCACTAATAAATAAACAACTGCACTTGGCCCAGTGGTTACACAGTCAAACATTATAAACTATCTTCACCATCCAAATCTTTGGTTGATGAACAATTTTAAAAATGAAAAAGGGTCTGCTTCAACAGAAGTTAAAAAATGTCTTATCATATGATAAATCAATCTTATAAAATACAGTTTGTAACTGATTTGATTCTGAATGAAAGAAGAAAAGATAATACATTATGGTTGAAAATTAAGTGCCAAAAAATGAAAAGTAGGAAACAATTTTTTTTTTTTGAAAAAGGAGAGAGAAGACATATGTACCTAGGTAAAAAGAACTACTGAAAATAGGCAATAAAGACTTTAAGAGAATTTTTTAATATTAAAACATATCAAAAAATTCTAGCAATATTCTTTAACCTTTAATGGATTTATTCTAATTAACAAGCATTGTCATGGATTGTAACGTTAACTTTGTTGTGAGTCATAATACTTTACGTTTCTATAGATAATAACAAGTCTCAAATAAACCACTATATGATTAAGACGTCTTTCATTTCATTCCACAACATTTTGGTGCCGTGACCGACGGAATTCTACATAGTACATACAATGGAAGGAAGACTAAAAGCTACGAGCCGGCAACAGATCAGCAGTTACAAAGCTATTTGGACGGTTTTTGGACTTGAAGGAAAATTCAGCCAGTGAAGAAATTACCGAGAAAATCAACATAATTAGAAAGTCTCTCGCGCTGAAAAGGCAGACCCTACAAGAATTGAACGACCGCATATTGGATACCCTATCTGAAGAGGACATCGAAACAGAAATCGCAAATACAGATGAGTACATGTATGAATTAGACTGTAAAATTAGGCAAACTGAAAAATTTACAGAAAAAATTCCATGTAAAACTTTGAATGCCAATGCTGAGTATTTTACACCCGCCACAGAAATTTATGATAATAACGTTAACACGTCAGCTACAATTAACTCAAGTGAAACGGCTTGTGAGAATATTTTGAACAATGTTCCTGCCTCTGATCTCAATGCACAAAGTAGCCAGGAAAATGTTTTGTCATTAACATCCCAACACGCCACGAATAATCACCGATTACCAAAGTTAGATCTTCCACATTTTTACGGAGATGTATTAGAATGGAATACATTTTGGGATTCTTACGAATCAACGATTCATTGCAATCATACTTTAACGCCAATTCAAAAGTTTAGCTATCTCAAAGCTCAATTACGCGACACAGCAGCACAAACAATAGCAGGATTTGCGCTTACAAATGCTAATTACGAAACGGCAATAGACTTGCTCAAAGAACGATTTGGTCAGCCACAGAAAATTATTAACGCTCATATGAGAGCACTCATCGAACTTCCTGCCCCCAGAAATGATGCCATTAGTTTAAGAAATTATGGAGATTTCTTGGAATCTCATGTCAGGAGCTTAGAGTGTCTAGGACAAAGACAAGAGATGTTTGGAGCATTACTTATTCCAGTCATAATCAACAAGCTACCTACTGAAATTAGGAAAAACATTGCACTTGAGTACGATGGTAACAACATTTCACTACAAAATCTTCGTAAAGCTATCAGCAAAGAAGTCAAAATCCTTGAATCAGGCCAGATTGAAAACAGCGATGGATTTCACGCAACAGCAGTGTTTTTTACCAGTGCTTCACAGAAACAACACAACGTTTGTTATTCACATAACCAGAAAACGAGAGAATCAACTCCTCATGTTGAAACAACAGAGATGAAGAGCCGCCCATGCATTTATTGTTGCACAGAGAATCATTTTCCAGGGGATTGTAAGAAAGTTACAGTCTTAAGTGCAAGATTCGACATCTTAAAACGGAAGAAATTATGTTTCAACTGCTTGGGAAACCACCGCGCCTCAGATTGTAAATCCCGCAACAGGTGTAAAAAGTGTCAGAAAAAACACCAAACAAGTATATGCGACATGAAACTAACGAGGGACAGAAACGAGCCCACCAAATCAACAAGTGTCAATATCGTAGAAACGAGTAAGAAGCCAGAAACCACAGTACTAAACTTTGAACATCGACCTACAAGTGTTTTACTGAATACAGCTAGGCCTATCGCTCCGATAAGTCGGACTCCATGCAAGAAGAACGTAACAAGCTGACTAACGAGATACAGCTACTTAAATCAGAGCCGAAGACACAGACACAAAGGAGGAACGCGTTGGAGCATGAGAATGCCACCCTGCTAGAGAAAGTGTCACAATTCGACCAACAAAGGGATTTTCAGACGACTCGTGTAGAGAATGTGATGAAGGAGATGATGGAACAGAAAAATAAACTGGCGTACGAAAACGGACATCTGCATAAGGAGATTCAGGAATTAAGGGGCCAAGTTGACATACTCAAAACCGCCACCTCTGACTTGGAGCATCTCAAGGCTAAAAACAAGTCTTCAGTCAGGATGTGATTACACTCGAAGGGAAATAAGTGATCTAAAGATCAACGTACAGAGATTGGAAAATCAGTGCAAACTTTACAGGACTCCGTAGATAGCAGGGAGAGAGATTATAGGTTCACCGTAAAGACTCGTGATGAGGAACTAAGGGAGAAAACTCAGCTGATAGAAAAACTTAAAGAGACCGAGGAGAAGGAAAAAGATAAGTCACAGAAAAAGAATCTCAGGGACATGATAGAGATAAAGAAACAAAACAACAACCTACAGACTCGGAACATGGAGCTGGAGAAAGCTAACACAGAAATACGTCACAAAGACTCGGAAACTGAGACTCTGATACAAAACCTGAAATATAAAGTGTCTGAAGAGAAGATGATCGAGTATCAAAACCAAAAGCCAAAGAAAGAATCCATGAATGGACCTCTTAATTTAATGATTATGAACTTGCTTTTTATTTCAATGGAACTGTTAATTTAATATGAGCTTTTTAAAATTTTACTATTCATTTTGGTGCCCGGAGTGTCATGGATTGTAACGTTAACTTTGTTGTGACGTCATAATACTTTATGTTTCTATAGATAATAACAAGTCTCAAATAAACCACTATACGATTAAGACGTCTTTCATTTCATTCCACAACAAGCATCATAGTTTGGTTTTTTTTTCCTAAAGATTTATAATTATCTAATGAAGTGTCTGTCTAAATGAGTGTTTTATTTGTTAAATCTATTGCTATCTGTTGATAGAATATATAGTTTCGTGATATCAATATTAATTACACTGTGTATCATCCTCATTCAAGTGATGAAAAGGGATAATTTTAGGTGGAAAATGTTAGAGTGTTTAGACCATAGCTCTGAGACCATATTCTTTTCTCTTTTTTAGTCCCCTACCAGTGAAACCGGAGGGGACTATAGGTTTCCTCTGAGTCTGTCCGTCCGTCTGTCCGTCCGTCTGTCCGTCCGTCTGTCTGTCTGTCCGTCTGTCTGTCTGTCCCTCTGTCTGTCTGTCAGTCTGTCCCACTTGGTTTTCCGCACTTTTTTCCTAAACGCTTGCAGATATTGAGCTGATTTTTGGTAGGTGAGTGTATCTTGATGAGTTACAGATCAAGTTTGCATTTCGTTCCGCTTCACTGATTTTTGACGGAATTACGGCCTTTTCAATTTTTACGGGTTTTCCGCAATTTTCTTCTAAACGCTTGTAGATATTGAGCTGATTTTTGGTATGTGGCTTTACCTTGATTAGTTATAGATCAAGTTTGCATTTCGTCCCGCTTCATTAATTTTTGACGGAATTATGGCATTTTCAATTCTTAACGGGAACGGAACCAGATTACACTTGCCGGTAGGGGACTAGTATTGCTAACGCAATACTCTCAGAATGCTTGTTGTTTTTGTTTTTGTTTTTTTTTTTGTCTTTTTTTTTAGTCCCCTACCGGTGAAACCGGAGGGGACTATAGGTTTCCTCTGAGTGTGTCTGTCTGTCTGTCTGTCTGTCCGTCTGTCCCTCTGTCTGTCTGTCAGTCTGTCCCACTTGGTTTTCCGCACTTTTATCTTAAACGCTTGCAGATATTGAGCTGATTTTTGGTATGTGAGTGTATCTTAATGAGTTACAGATCAAGTTTGCATTTCGTTCCGCTTCATTGATTTTTGACGGAATTACGGCCTTTTCAACTTTTAGGTGTTTTCCGCAATTTTCTTCTAAACGCTTGCAGATATTGAGCTGATTTTTGGCATGTGACTTAACCTTGATGAGTTATAGATCAAGTTTGCATTTCGCCCCGCTTCAATGATTTTTGACTGAATTATGGCATTTTCAATTTTTGACGGGAACCAGATTACACTTGCCGGTAGGGGACTAGTATTGCTAATGCAATACTCTCAGAATGCTTGTTTGTTTTGTTTTTGCCTTTTTGTGTGTGTGTGAGTGTAAGGGAGGGTGTGTGTGTGTGTGTGTGTTTGTTTGTTTGGGTTTTTTTTTAAATTTTTTTGTTGTTGTTTCCAAATAGGGAGCTCCATATTTTTATGTTTTTATCTAAGGAATAATAAAATGGTTGCAATTAAATTTTGCTAACAGATTGCAAAATTATTATAAATTTTCATGTTGCTATTGTAAGGAAATCTAGTGCATATCTAAGGCTGTAAGGTAGATTGTTGAGCATGGTCCTTGTACCTTTTCTATAAGTGTATATTTATCTATTATAAAAAAAACCAATACCAACAATTTTGCACGATTGAAAATGCTTTTTCACATGTGTGTGCTTGAATTTGATAACAAGATATTTTTGTAAGAATGTATAAGTAAATTCCACTTACCCTTCTCTTTTATTGTAGGGCAATGTCACTTCTACGCTGCTGCTATTGTAGGGCCAGACTTCTCTGTGCAAGACAGTTTTCAGCATCTTCCACAAGGTATGCTATTAGAATCCAAATAATTTGGGGGGGGGGGGGCAAATTTTATTTAGAAGAAGCACATGTGTATCATATGTCTCTATCTGGGTAAAGAAGAAAATTAATTTTCATTGCAAGAATCTTCATCAATCCAACATTTCATTATTCTGAAAACTGAAAAAGTATCAGACAAATAAAAGTGGAAAGTTATGATTTTTTTTTTTCACAGGCTTAGAAGGGTCAAAACATACCATGAAATACTTGGAGTACCAAAGGATTCCACAAAAGAACAGATTAAAGAAGCATTTATTGAAAAATCAAAACTGGTATGTAAAAAGTAATTTTTTTTATAAACCTTTTTTCTATCTAGCTAAGATTTCTGAGCTTGGAAGTGAACTGCTTCAGGATGTCACAGTTTCAAGCCAACAATCATGCTGGATAAATTTTGGAACTCATAACAAAATGTGAATAACATGTATAACTTTTGAAAGTCAGAGGAAAAAAAGGAATATGTTATTTATAAACTGGCTAAATGAGAATAAAAATAGGTACCCTTTGTGAGCAACAAGAGGTCTTCCCTCAGATTGACCATCCTTAAATATAATATTGTATGCATGTAGAGTTACATTTATAGTAAGTAAGTAAGCTAGTAATAAACATGAGTCTTCAAAAAAAACAAACAAAAACAAAAAAACAACAACAACAGGATTTTAAAGAATTTTAAAAATGAAAATGTGAGAATAGTGCAGAATTCAAACAACAAAAATCTAAGCTAAAATAGGTGAGAAGAAAAATTCGGATATTGTGGGGATTGAAATCTGCATGAAAATCCAACACGTTAACCACTACACCAGAGGGACCAGCCATCATCATAGAATTTTTTTTTAATCATACCACAATATGTATTACATGTACTCTTGTACAATCCCCATAACTCTTCAGTTCTTGCATACATAAAATATTTTAAAAAAAAAGATTAATAATTTGTAATGTTTACAATTAAATGTAGGCCAAACATTTTTGGCAATAAATTCAAATTTCAATAAAAAACATAGAAATAACACAAAATTTGAACAGTAAAATTTACTAGACATCATATCACAGATCATCTAGCTTCCCAAGTCAAGGGTTTCTGATCTAATCTGCTCCACATAAACCCTTGACCAAATAGACTAAGTTTGAAGGGGTTAAAAATGTGCTCTCTGATTGGCCTCATACAAGTTTGCATGAGCCAATCGAAACAGTTGTATTATTAGTCCCCTACCGGTGAAACCGGAGGGGACTATAGGTTTCCTCTGAGTCTGTCTGTCTGTCTGTCTGTCCCACTTGGTTTTCTGCACTTTTTTCCTAAACGCTTGCAGATATTGAGCTGATTTTTGGTATGTGAGTGTATCTTGATGAGTTACAGATCAAGTTTGCATTTCATTCCGCTTCATTGATTTTTGACGGAATTACGGCCTTTTCAATTTTTACGGGTTTTCCGCAATTTTCTTCAAAACGCTTGTAGATATTGAGCTGATTCTTGGTATGTGGCTTTACCTTGATTAGTTATAGATCAAGTTTGCATTTCGTCCCGCTTCATTAATTTTTGACGGAATTATGGCATTTTCAATTCTTAACAGAAACCAGATTACACTTGCTGGTAGGGGACTAGTATTGCTAATGCAATACTCTCAGAATGCTTGTTTAACCTGAATCAAGATCGTAAATAGAAAACATGCCAGTTTTAGTCCCAACGAAAACATCATTACCATTAAATAACCCAATTAAAGGCTTGTCTCAACTTTTTAGTTGAATTTATTATCAACTTCCAATATTGTCTCGCATCATTTATTAGTCCCCTACCGGTGAAACCGGAGGGGACAATAGGTTTCCTCTGAGTCTGTCCGTCCGTCTGTCTGTCTGTCCCTCTGTCTGTCTGTCAGTCTGTCCCACTTGGTTTTCCGCACTTTTTTCCTAAACGCTTGCAGATATTGAGCTGATTTTTGGTATGTGAGTGTATCTTGATGAGTTACAGACCAAGTTTGCATTTCTTTCCGCTTCATTGATTTATGACGGAATTACGGCCTTTTCAATTTTTAAGGGTTTTCCACAATTTTCTTCTGAATGCTTTCAGATATTGAGCTGATTTTTGGTATGTGACTTAACCTTGATTAGTTATAGATCAAGTTTGCATTTCACCCCGCTTCATTGATTTTTGACGGAATTATGGCATTTTCAATTCTTAACGGGAACCAGATTACACTTGGCGGTAGGGGACTAGTATTGCTAATGCAATACTCTCAGAATGCTTGTTAAAATATGTTTACACAGGGGCAGACTATTGTTCTTATTATATGATTGAATGATTCCTAGCTCTCTGATTGGCTGAAATTCAACATTCTAGAAGTCATAAAAGTTATATTTACCTGTAAGAGACCTTCTAGGTGAATACAGTTGAATGTCATCATCTGCATCTGGAACTTAGATATCTCGAATACCATGTTTATGTCCCAGCTTCTCTTTCTTTATGTATATTAACCTTGATATCTCAAATCATCAGATACCTCAAACTTTTTTTTCTCAGCCCCATTGAATCCAAGATAAAGAGGTTTGACTGTATATAACTTCATTTGACTTAAAATAGATTGGGAACTTCCAAATTGATGTGATTCGGTATGTTTATTTTTGTCATCCAATGAAATCCTTCATCCCTCATTACATTTGGCTAGAACTTCAGCAGATGTAAACAACCAAGAAAGATGGCTAGGTTTGCTTAACGAATTTGTATCATTTAATCATTGAATTATATAATAAAACAATTACCGTCTGTTTTTTATGATCAATACAATGATTTAGCAGCCCGCAAAGTACAATATTAACTGCACCTTTTGGACTTGGTGAATATTGTATTACTAAGGTTGTTAAATCATCATATTGACCTCAAAACAGAAAATTTTTAAGATTCAATTTTGTTTTGGATGTAAGGAAACTGGGCAGAGGGAGGTGGCACCAAGATTTAGCAGAGTAGTATTTTACCTCTGCATTCTTTAAAAAACTGAATTTTCTTCTATACAGCTTCACCCAGACACCAATACTGGAGATGTAGAACAGTTTCAAGAGCTAAAGACTGCATATGAACATTGCATGAGCTTCACCAAACAACCTTTTGAAATGACATATGATGAAATCCAAGCAAAGGAGAGAGAGTGAGTTCTTTACTTAAAAAATATCCACAAATAATCTTGGGTTACAAAGATTAATGATTTTGCTTTTTTACTACCCAATATTGTGAATAATTAGCAAAAATCAGCTTACTTTTTTAGAATTTAGAGAAGGAACTTACTGACTCCCTTTGAAAACCTAAAGTTTTGATGATGGAAATATTGTAGCTTCAAGTGTAGCTATGAATATGATGTACATCATTTACAGTACTTGCAATATTACAATATTTTAATAACATTATGCAGGGTTTATTCTAAACTGAGTTAACAATTTTTTTTCTGTAATTTAAGTAAAATGATTAAAAAAAATATCTGTAAGAAACTATTTCTAGCTGTTAATTGGTAAGCAAATGAATTTACTCTAAAATTACTTTGTAATTGACTAAATTATGAAATTTTAACAAAAATGATAAGATATGGATACTTGGGTGGATGTACCTTGTATCAACATGTGTATCATAACACCTTATATCCAATAAATATATCATAACATGTCAAGGCTTGAGGATAGAAAACACACAACTCGTATAAAAATCATATCCAACCACAAACCATGGAAGAAACTATGTATATCACAATAAATGCATCATAAACATCTTATATCACAATAAATGTACATGTATCATAACAGCTTAGATCACAATAAAACAAAATTTAGGTTTCAGTCCTAAAAAAAACCCACCCATCTTTAACAAGAAAATAACAGGAAAAGCATGTTGATATTAATAAATATAGTCTTAAAAACTCTGATTAATATACTGATTTCAATTCAAACACAGATTCATGCAGGGGAAAAAACCCAGTTTACTCTGTGTTTAGTAAGTGAAGTTTTGGCTTTCCTACAATTGAAAACACCTTCGTTGCTTTTTCTTACCTTTGAGAGTTATGAAGAAAAATTCCCACATAATTTTATTGTTTTATTCAGACAACTTTAACTGTAAAAAAAGTATAAATTATAAACTTTACAATTAAAACAAGAGAAGTCTTTAGGGGAGTAAATTAAAATTTTATTCATTCCCGGTGATGTTGAACTGTTCTATACTTTCCTTGGCCATTTCTCAAAAGTTTGTCTGAATATTATACTTCTCAATCATTTCCTTCGAAAGGAATAATTTCCCATTTAGATTGATTTCCAGGGAAATGGATTTAAAATTATTATTGCTTCTCTTTATTTAGATGTTAACAATCATATGATTCTATAGATTCCATACCACAGTTACATATATACTGTTAATTTATTTATTTTTTTTATTTTTTTACTCATAACCATCTGTTGTGTTTGCAGGGAATTGTTGAATACTCCAAGAAATGTGCACAGTCCTTTTATTTTGGAAAACTTTATTGAGTACACAATCATTTTGGCCATATGCATAGTGATCTCTCACTTTGTGGCAGATGGCCTGTACAAATTCCATCCGTAAGTATATTTATAATTTTTGTTGTTGTTGCAACTTCAAAGCATTTGATAATGCACACTTTGCTGAGTAGATTAAGTGTTATTTTCAAAAGTACTATGTTTACTTCTTTTAACTAGAATTTTTAATTGTTTTGTGGCCTTTGGTTCAATTATATTGAACTAGTTCATAAATACATGTACCACAAAAATATGATTGCAGTACTTCGTGATTGCACCAGAATAATACTGTAAACATGGAAATTTATGCATGGGGGTTATGCCAAATATTGCAATAAGAAAGATTTTGCATGAATACCCCCCCCCCCCTCCCCCAAATCATTTATACATGTTTAATTCAGATTTAACAATACACAATTCTGGTAAAAAAGAAATAACTCCCACATGTAATTTACAACACATGTAAATATCTACATTTACAACATGAATTATTAGTCCCCATTTTTTGCTAAATATGTGTGTATGTTAAAAAAAAAGATACCTGTAGAGTAATCTTATTGATACAACTTATAAACACTTGAAACATGAGATAATGTAGGGAATGCAGAGAGAAAATGAAATAAAATGAATAAAAAAATAAAAAATAAGTGGTAGAAATTTGAGAAATCTGACCTTCAGTGAGTCTTGTGTGTAATTTAGATTGTGTCTTACTAGTAATGTCGCCCATATAGCAAAAGGAAGGGGATTGTGCCTTGTCCTCTGTTTCTTGAGTCTTTCATTCTTGTTTTTCAGATGATATATCCTCCCTCCCCCCCCCCCCCCACAAAAAAAAAAATTATTTCATTATTTATTCCTGCATAAGAGAGTGTGAAAAATGATTTTTGAGAACTACAGGTCAAGCATCAAGGTGACAATGACAAAATTTCTCAAAATAATTTCCAGACTACATATATCTTTCCTCTCAGAAAAAAAATTTCAAACTTCTAAAATTGAATTTTGATATCTCGATCATTGATATCTCAAATATCTTGGATATGTTGAAGTGAGTTGGAAATCCTAACAACTTTTTCTTAATGTATTTTACCCTTGATATCTTGAATTCTCCGATATCTCTAAGTTTTTCTTAGTCCCATCGAGTTCGAGATAACAAGGTTGACTGCATTTATAATTCCAGAAGTTGGTTCATGTAACAAATTTTAATTTTCTGGTCACATGTCATAGTCCCAAATGCAAAATTTATTTATTTTTTGAATATCTCTTCATAGGATAGGGTCTGAAATCCATACATCACACAATAGGTGCTGATCTATAAATAAAACATTGGGGGAAAGGGGGGGCTCATTAGTAAGCAGATTTGCCTAATTTGTTGTCAAGTGGAGGTAGAAATTATTGGCAAATTTTTTAATTGTAGTGTAGTCTCTTTTTTCAACTACATGTACAACATTCAATTTTTTAAAAAAGTTACCTATATAACGAAGTATGTTTTGTATTGTTGAAGTTGTTCCTCTTTATATGATGTGCCAGCCTCTAAGCTTCTGGAGATTAGGAAATTAAGATTAGAACACAGAACTTCTTGTTTCATATTTAAATACAGCTTACTTCTCCAACAGTCTTTTATTTGAGTGCAAGATACCATGAATGCAAAATATAGTATTTGCTAAACTACATTGCTGCAATGGAATCAATGGTAAACCAAAGAACTTATTTTAGCAGGAATTCCATGACACTTTCATTTAAGATGAAACGTCCCTCTGATAAGATAGATAACTTTCCAAGGAAATTATTCCAAGCAATCCAATGAATTGTCTGCCCAAAGTTAAATAATGAGGACCATTATATAATCAATTCAATCAAACCTGAATTATGTTACAAATATTGATTTCTATTTTCTTTTGCCAATATTTTTGATAGTTATTACTTTTAATAGTTTACCTAAAACATTTGCAATCAGTTCCTTTAAACTGTTGTAATTGAGATACTTCTATCTCTTAATATACAATCTTTTAAATTGTTACAGGAATTTATCATGTATCAGATGCAGAATTTTCATAATTAATTAATAAATTAATTTTTTCTCTTAAAAAATATTTTGAAGAAAGATAACTCCTGCAGATGGAAAGATAACTTTTGTAGATGGATGCATTTTTAGCTCACCTTGATGAAGTCAAGATGAGCTAATGCTATACCCCCAGCGTCAGCGTCCCGGTTAAAGTTTTAGGAGAAAGTCCATTCCCAAGTAACTAGAAGCCCTAGCTGGACCAAATTTAAATGGATGATGCATCTAGGGATGGACACTACCACAATTGCTTCAGATGCTGGATCTGACCTAGATTTTCCAGATGAGTGACCAGGTTAAAGTTTTTGGAGCAGGTCCATTCCCAAATAACTATAAGCCCTACCTGGACTAAACTTGCATGGATGATGCATCTTGGGATGGACACTAAAACACTTGCTTCAGATGCTGGATCTGACCTAGATTTTCCAGATGAGTGACCAGGATAAAGTTTTTGGAGCAGGTACCTAACCATAAGCCCTACCTGGACCAAACTCGCATGGATGATGCATCTAGGGATGGACATTACCACACTTGCTTCGGATGCAGGATCTGACCTAGATTTTCCAGATGAGTGACCAGGTTAAAGTTTTTGGAGCAGGTCCATTTCCAAGGAACTATAAGACCTACCTAGACCAAACTTACAAGGATGATTCATCTAGGGATGGACACTACCACACTTGCTTCGGATGCTGGATCTGACCTAGATTTTCCAGATGAGTGACCAGATTAAAGTTGTTGGAGCAGGTCCATTCCCAAATAACTATAAGCCCTACCTGGACCAAACTCACATGGATGATGCATCTAGGGATGGACACTACCACACTTGCTTCGGATGCTGGATCTGACCTAGATTTTCCAGATGAGTGACCAGGTTAAAGTTTTTGGAGCTGGTCCATTCCCAAGTAACTATAAGCCTGGCCTGGACCAAACTTGCATGTTGTTGCACCAGGGATGGACACTACCACACTTGCTTCGGATGCTGGATCTGACCTAGATTTCCCAGTTGAGTTATCAGATTAAATTTTTTGGAGCAGATCCATTTCCAAGTAACTGTAAGCCCTACGTCAACCAAACTTGCATGGAAGATGCATCTAGGGATGTACACTAACCAACCTGCTTTGGATGCTGGATTCTGAATCTGACCTACATTTTCCAGATGAATGACCAGGGTAATGTTTTTGGAGTAGCTGTACAAAATTTTGGCCTGTTATAATTAAACTTGAACAGATGGTGCATCTAAGGATGAAAACTTCCAGACTTGCTTTGGATGTTGGAACTGACCAAAATTTTCTTGATTAGTAAACAGGTTGAAAGTTTTTTGAGCAGGTCTATTTCCAAGTAACTATAAGTCCTACTTAAACCAAACTTGCATAGATATTGATCTTGGGATGTACACTAACTAGAAAAAAAAATATGATGTGAGATTTGCCTTACTTATAGATAACATTCGTCGAGGTGAGCTTCGTAATCTTTGATTACCTTTGATTTTTTTACAAGCACAGAAAACAATGTGATATTCTGATTTAAAAAGCAATGCTTCATTATGTTTTCTAATATGAGTTTGATAGGTATGACAGTAAATATTTTTTTCATATATACCTCATATTTTTAATTTTATGTTGAGATAAAAATTATTGATCTTTCTCTTCACTATCTCAAATTTTCTTCATATCATGAATAGACATAATATTCATTTCTGGAAAAGTAAGCAATGCTTCATACCTCAAACTATTTTCCATTTGAATCCAATGTTATTGTTGTTGATGAAAATCAGGCGCGGATCCAGGAATTGAAGTTAGAGGGGGCGCCAAAAGTAGGCAGGGGGTCTGGGGGCCGCCTTGAGGCCCCCAGTGGGTCCAGGGGGCGAAGCCCTTAGAAGCTCCTGGATTCTAGAGATTTTTTAGGGTAAAAATGAGGTCTACCGAGTAGACATTTTTACATTTTCTCGACGAAACTATGATTTACGCTAACTTTGACAATTTTAGGGGGGGCGCACGCCAGGTGCGCCCCCCCCCCCCCCCCCCCCCTTAAATCCGCCACTGCTCATGTTGTGAATTTTAAAAAAAAAATTGGCAAAATTTAGAGCAAAGAGATATTTCACCTGAAGTGTGAAGGTTTAAAAATAGTTATGATAACAATAGTACCTCACCCCATATTTTGATGATTTCCTTGCCTGTCTGTCTGTCCTTCTATTTGTCACATCAAACTGCTCAAATACATTTTTAGCTCACCTCAACGAAGTTAGGGGAGCTTATGTAATACCCTCGGCGTTTGGCATAGGCGTCAGTGTCGGCATCCCAGGTTTAAGTTTTTGAGCAGATTTCTTTTCAAGTACTTCTATGCCCTGTATTAATCAGAGATGCATGGAGGATGCTTCTAGTGTGTTTCATTGTACCAGTCAAGGTTTCAGATGCACTGCAATTTCAGCTAAAGAATGACCAGGTTAATGTTTTTGGAACAGGTTAAAGATTTTGAAGCAGATCTCATTTCCAAGTAACTGTTAGCTCTCTGTTGACCAAACTTGCATGGATGATACTCCTAAGGATGCACACTACTGGACTTGCTTCGGATGCTGGATATGACCTACATTGTCCGGATGAGTGACCAGGTTAAAGTGTTTTAATTTGAAGCAGATTCTATTCAAAGTAATTAGGAGTCATGCGTTGACCATTGTGAATTGAGATATCAATGAGGTTTTTGGCAGATATTTAGACACTATCTAAAGACATGTGCTGAGACATAGAAATTTATTTCCATTGCCTGTACTGTTAGTGCAGGTTGATAAATATGTGTTTGGTCATTTTTTTTAATTCACCCATGTGCATTTGGAGGGAAGTGGTGGCCTTATGTATTTTATTGATATAAGAAATTATAGTGTCACTACTACTATTCATAGGATATGGATTGGAAATACAAAACTAAAATCAAAAATCACTCATCCGGGATTTCCTCGAAAAGCAGGATGTTTTCATGGGATGAATTGTAGCTTGAAAAGGAGGTGGTTGAG